AGGTTAGGTTGTTAAAGCCCCTCCTGTGACCCCTCATGCGCCCCTGCTACCCCCATTTCTTAATTCTTCTTCATCATGTCACCAAGTAAGGTGGGCACTTGCTTTAGTCAAAACAGAAATTAAAACTAAACACAAATTTGCAGGAAAAAGCTTTAATTTAAAGTAAGTGAAAACAGAAGGAGACTTTAGCCTGGGGAGCTGGCAAAGATTAGACTGACCCTTAACAAAGGAGAGTAAAAAAAAAAAAAATGGAAAGGACCCCAGCTTGAGGAGCTGGAAGGGGCTCACTCTGATGAAAGGGAAAACGCCAGTTCTTAAGGATTAGCTGAGGTGGACCAGGGTCCAGTAAATTATTACCTCATTAGCTCAGGTTGCATCCTTGTGACTTGTGGGAAAATTTGGTTCCCATAGGAAGAGTCTCATGACCTGAGGGGCAATTTGGTTCTGGTGTAGGAATTCTCAAATAAATCTCAGTAATGTGAGGCTCTGCTGGAATCCAAGGTTACCATAGATTTAGGTCAGTGCAGACTTCTGGGCACAGTTGTTTTCAGTCTTGAAGGGTGGTAATGTAGGTTCGGCAAATTTAAGGCTAATAAACCTTGTTTAGCCAACTTTTAGGCAGACACCCCCTAAATGACTGCCATTTAAGCTGAGATGATTTTGTGTTAAGGAGCAGCTATGATGTGTATAGATTGGTGGGGGCCGGGCTACAGGCTCCACAGTCCTGAGGCTGGTGTGACTTGGTTTAGAAATAGAGAAATATGTGGAAGGCTGCATGTTTCCTGGCCATGTGGGGAAAGCTTGTGCTCCTAAGGCAAGATAACATTGGCTGGGGAGAATGCAAAAAGTCCAGGAATCCAGGTATGGGGAAGGACTTAATCTCCATTAACTTGTTCCCTTTGGGAGGATTAACTTGTTCCATATATTTTGTTGTCTCATTCCTACTGCAGTCGCTGTTCCAGGAAAAGTACATTACCACTCAACTTGCACTTCTTGCTGGTTAATAAAAGTGGATCAACCATGGAGATTATCAAGTCTGTCCACTAGAGACACGCTCCTCCCAGTCCCCTTGAACCTTGAATATTATGTTTCTTTTTATTCCCCATCATCCCTTCTATAGGTATTCAAAGGTCTGATCAGCCCCAGGCAATTTTGACCTAGAGTTCTACAAAATGAAGGTCAAGCTTTGGTTTATTTTAGTTACCTATTGAGTATTTGTAGGCCCCAGTGAAGGGTCACTTTTTTAAAAAGCAAAAACTACCTTTTTTAAAAAAAGCAAAAACTCTGACTGCCTTAAGAAAAAACACAAATCATGCTTTTGATGAGTAACAGGTCAAGGGCCCAGGAGCTTATTTGTTATTCATCCCTACAGGGATCTCTGACCATGTCATAACTCTGTCAACCATGCACACAAGATCCTTGGCAGAGTGGTCATTTAATAGTGACCAAGATTTACATTTAAATCTAGTTCTTCCCCAAAACTGTAGAAACATTATCCCATTATCCCATTAATATTTGCTTTAATATTAATGCATTGCTAAAGCATTTTTCTTCCCAGGTAAAGTATGTTGGTCACATGCTTGCATTTTTATTAGGGAAAAAACCCTGAATTGTCAGCAAGGCAGGATTGTGGATACCGGCTCCACTAGCCTGGGGCCACAGCAATGGCTGGGCTCCTACTCTGAAAAGCCCTCCTTCCCAGAGGTTGGGGAGCAAAATGCAAGCTCAATGCCCTAGGAGAGATCACAGATGCCCCATGTCAGCACGATAAAGAGACAGAGACCTTCCTGTCATGGAGCCATTTATACACTTCCTGTGACAGAAGAGACTTGCCCATAAAAGCCAGGGAAGAGCACACTGTTGATCTCTAATCCCTGGTGGTGTAAATCTTGTAGGGTAGGGCACATCTCTCCCTTTAGAAGACCTGAGACTTGTGCATAGGAGCTCAGGGCTGGACTTTGGCTTTCTGACTTCCCACACTGTCTTGGCACGGGTTTCCTAGGCTATGTCCTTTTGTTGGTTTCTTACCCTAAAGCTGAATGGGACAGAGAAGGCAGAGTCCATAGGGCAGGACCAGAGGCAGGACCTAGAGAGAGGGAGCAAGGGGCGGAGCCTAGAGAGACAACAAGGGCTGAAGCCTAGAGACAGGGCAGGAGTGGGGCCTAGAGGGGGACCAAGGGAGCAGAGGCCCTATAGGACAGAATGAGGGTGGACACTGGGGACAAGACCAAGAAGGGAAGCCCTGGAGAGGAAATAGAGGGCAAGACCATGGGCGGGCCCAAAGGGCGGGGCATTCCAAGGGCTTGTCTCTTCAGCTTGTCACCATTCCTAGGTCTTTTCCTATCTTCGGGTGGCTTGCCATGTTGAAAGTTTTTGCAGGATATCTTTGGGCTGGCTGGCTGGTGTCTCCTGATCAGATTCAGGTTACACGCATCTGTTCTTCTAAGGGCCCTCCACAGGAGTCTCATGAGGAAGACTTATTTGTTCTGTTACTGGTGCTGCACATTTTGTGTTAGATGGTGTTCTCCACATTTCTAATTTCTATTTTGTAATTGATCAAAATCCATGGGAGATAATTTGAGATTGTGCGAATATTCTGTTACTCTTCAAACTTTTACTCACTACTTTTTAGCATGCATCCAATTTTCCTGATGGTTGCCAAAGGATGATTTTCTGACTCCCTCATTCCCTCTGTATTTATCAGGTACTTTCCACTGGAATAAGGAGTCTCCCTGTCTCTCCTAGGCATTTATGTATGTATGTACTTACTTGGGTGTGAGCTCCTGACCCCCTATTTAAATCAAAGTGTTATCATTCTTTACTGTGACCATTTGCTTTCATGCTCCAGTAACCCAGATAAAGCCAGTGGGAACCTCTTCAAAGCAGCTCCTGTGTTCTTTTTACCTGTTCCTGTGTTAAAAGTAACTTCTTCCTTCCTTTGTTTCAGGCTCTTCTTATACTTCCATGCCCCAGCCCTGGATTCAGTCATTTCTCCAAGGAGCTGTGGTTCCTTTTTTTTTTTTTTTTTTTCTGGAGGATGAATTTGGAAATCATTATTTTAGAACAACGAATCCTCATGGCTATGCGGGTGTTATTGCTGTCGGCCTTCTCAGGGGAAAGAGCTAGGAAACATGAACATACACACATGCAGGCATACAGGCACATGTGGCTCCTGGTCACTGCATCCTGGTGGTCGTGCTTTGGGTAGGCCCTTCCCCTTGAGGGAATACACGGAGGGGCTCACTTCTCATGAATAGAACATGACAGAGTGATGAGATATACTTCAGGTATCAGGTTATAGAGACCTTCTGCTCGGTGTGGCTTCCCATGCTTGCTCACTCTGACAGACGTCAGCTGCCATCTGTGAGCTGCCCATGGAGAAACTCACATGGCAAGAAGCTGAAGAAGGGCCAACAACTATGTTTGGAAATGCATCATTCCTGTCTCATTCCTTCAGATGAGATAAACACATTTACATCTGTTTTCATCTCTTTCTCTATGGGATTACAAACCATGAGTTCACATTGATAACTTCAAGTTCAGTCCAATGCTGCAGGGTCCATTTGAAGCCTCCCACCTTTTTGTGATTCCTTTCTCCAACAATGAGAAATCCAGCTCCACTTATTCACAGTATATTTCTCTATCTGTTCATTCTTAGAATATACAGAAAGGAGTTTCAGAATTGCTATCTTATGTCTCTGTGAAAAAGTAACCTACCGTGGGATTTAATATTTGTTTAGAGTTCTTATTGTCATTACATGGCATAAAGTCCAAGTACCCCATGAGACTCCTATGTTTTTATAATAAACAAGAGTGTGCTCTCTCAGCTTCCCTTGGAAGTGAGGCATGAAATGCAAAAGGGAAAAACACATTTTCTTTCCAGACAGCAAATGCTCTGCCCTGATGCTTTGTCCTGGGTTGTGCTAACACTCCATATGAGAAGGCTCAGACAGGGGACTTCAGGGGCTCCCTGCTTTGTCCTCAGTGCTGATGCTTTCCTCTGGTAGCATAAGAGCACCAACCCCTGAGGCCAAAGGTGAGGTAGTGCTCCTGCAGACATTACACTGCTTGGCTGGAAAAGAGTATCGCGTTGGTTTTTGAAGTTCCCTGGGGACAATTTTGGATTTCAGCCATTGCCATTATTCAACAAGAAGTTGAGTGATGATTCTGGGATCTCTGCAGAGTGCTTAGTTTGAGAGGGACCCAGTGTCTTGTTTGTGTGTCTGGGACTGGGCCCAGGACACCCGGGTATTGGGTCCTTGACATGAGCTTACTACAGGGGACTCTGCCACACTGGGTTGTCACTGCAGCCCTGCCGGGAGGAAACTCCAAGAGACAAGGAATTCCAGATCGGTAGGAGCCAGAGGACAGCAATGAGGCTCGACTGAGATTTGTCCCAGTAGGTCACACCCTGCTCTCAGGTTACACTGTGATGCTCTCCAGGGAGACTGGGAAGGTGGCCAAGGCCACGAGATGCTGCCCTCCTTGGTTTCTCTAAGATCTGAGTCAGATTCTCATGCTCAGCAGTTCCTCTTCCCAGTTCCTACCAACCGCCCACGACTGTCCCAGAGACAGGCACACACACAGTCATACACATACCACACAATACACTGTGCACATGCCACATACATAACACCCCACACACTCATACACATCTCACACACCACACATCTATCTCACTCACATACTACACATACTCCCCAGGCACCCACATGTGGCACTAATACACACACACTCCTATCACACATCAACACATACACACTCACAGACACTGCATACATCTTACACACACTGTGCCCTGTGGTCCATTTCCTTGGGAGCACTTAGCATAGCACCCTGCAGAAAAAATATCTTCAACAGATCGGTAGAATTTGAGTTAAGCAAATTGAAACCATAAATACATATTTGCAAGGCATTTCCCTTACAAGGTACCAAAGCTAACATCCTTTAAAACTTGTAGCCACCATGATTGGAGGTGACTGTTCAGAGGTCATGGGAAGACTTCTTGTTAATGGCATCGTAACTTTGTAAAAGTAAAATCATGAACTCTGGTGGTGGGGTGGGAAGGTATCAGTCTAGTTTCCATTCTTTTCTCTTCCAGGGTCAGAAAACTTGGATAGAGAAAACCTTCTGCAAACGGGAATGTATTTTTGTAATTCCCAGCACGAAGGATCCTAACAGGTAAATTGGAAGTCCTACTAGAGGCATCATCCAAACCAGAGTTTGTTCTCCAGTTGCTCAGCAACTATTCTTCCTTCCAGTGTTTACAGGAGAGGGGAGAGGGGTCTAGGAGGGTACCAGAACCGTGATCATTAACATGGAGTCTCAGGGCTAATGTGCTCCTCTTGAAGATGCAGACAGCCTTGAAAAAAGAGTTTCTGTCTGCCACACACACTAATGGGAACTTTCACAACCAGATGGGCCCACAGTATTTTTCTCAATCTTCATGAGATCAGAGACCTGAGAGCTTTAGATTTTCAGGATGTCTTCTGGGCCTATTCAGTAGAGTCCCATAACTTAGATGAACAGGAACTTCTACCACAAGAAAGATCTGAGTGGTTATATGAACTAGACATAACTTTCTTAAAGAGCTTAACTTGCACACAAAATGTCAAACAATTTCATTCACCTTTGTAAAGATGTATGTTATAAGCTGAAAGAAGGCCTTCTAAAGTATGCAAGCAATCAGAGATGAATTGAGCTGAAACTTCTCATCTCTGCGGAGAAAAGCTGTGAGGTTGAGTTTGAGGAGTGGGGAAAGTATTTATCCATCTCTTTACTGAGAAATCTGGACAGGCAGGATCACCAATACAGAAATGCATGGATTCTTAGGCATAACTTGACTCAAATTTGTTTGATCTATGTAAGCACAGTGCCCCCACATCGCCAAGTTCCCCTTGACAGGCAACTTTGCAAGATCCTTGCCCTGTTTAAACACAAGTACTCATCCCCCAAGACAAGAAATGCCATTATGGGACAATGCCACTGTTCACAAAAGTCTCCCCGGTATTGTATCTAAATGTCCCTCCTTATTTCAGTGGCACCCAGACCCTCCTTGACAGGTACTATCCATGCCAGCCGTCCTTAGCATGGCAGCACTACAGTCCCCGATACAGACAAGTGGCCAGGAAGCAGAGGGGCAGAAGGGCGTTAGGGGCTCTCACACAGGCCTCCTCTGTGAGCTCTGTGCATTCTCCAGCATAGATCCCCAAAAGCTAGAATTCAAAAAATAATAATAAAACCCCTGGAAATGATCTCAAAGGCAAAGAACAGATGAAAAAATATCTATTCAAGAAAATCTTCTAAAATTCAGTAAGAACAGCTACAGTCAGTGGAATTTAAACAAAGAGAGCTCCCTTTCTACCAGCTTACCCAGGTGGAGACCTCATTCCAAACTGCTGCAGCCAGAAACACACTCTACCCTCAGGTCCTAATTAGAAGGCTTTCCCTATGGAGTAGCAGGACTTCAGCATCTCTCATCCTGTCCCCAGCTACCTGTTGCTAAGGCCAAGTCCTGGGTGAGTGCAGGTAGGAAGTAGAAGCTCTCTTCTTCCATCCAGACCCAATTTATACAAGCAGCAGCTACAGAAAGTGGGACTAGCTATACTGATTTCAGATAAAATAGACTTTAAGACTAAAAACATGTTACCAGAGGTAAAGAAGGATATTTCATAATGATTAAAGTGGTCACTCCATCAGGAAGTTACAACAATTATAAACATATTTGCATCTAATAACAGAGCACCAAAATGTCCACAATAGGGAAAAGTAGACAATTCAGTAGTAATATCTAGAGACCTCGATACCCCTTTTTCTATTGTGGATAGAACCTTTCAAGTGAAAGACTTGAACAGCTCTATAAACCAACTAGACTTAACAAACATTGTAGAGCATGACGTCCAATAACAGAATACACATTGTTCTCAAGTGCACGTGGGAAGGTTCTGTAAGGTATTCTCCAAGATAGATTGTATGCTAGGCCACAAAGCAGCCCCAATAGATTTAAAAGAATAGAAATAATATAAAATATGTTTTGTATATATTCATATTCATAATATATTGACTATATTAATCTCATAATAGGAGATAAACCGTAACAAAATTAGTAATTTCAAAATGAAATAAAAAATTAATAGCAGTAAAAAATTTTAGAAACTCATAAATATATTGAAATTAAACCACATACTCCTAAATAACCAATGACCCAAAGAAGAAATTAAAAGAGGAATTATAAAATATTTCAAGAGAAGTGGAAATTAAGTCATAGTGTACCAAACCTGTAGGGATGGTCTTAAATAAATAATGTAATCTTTCATCACAAGAAACTGGAAAAATAAGAGCAAACTAAACCTAAAGCAAACAGAAGGAAGAAACTCATGATTAAAATGGAAATTAATAAAATGAGAATAGAATAAAAAATGTATCTATTTGAGGGCAGGGATTTAGCTCAGTGGTGCCGCTGCCTGCCTCACAAGCTCAAAGTCTGGAGTTCGATCGCTGGTACCAAAAAAAAAAAAAAGTATCTATTTGATCTATGCTGGAAAACAGGAAATTTTTGGTAGAGAAACTCAATGAAGTAAAAAACTGTTCTTGGAAAAAATTGCCATTACTGAAAAATTTTTAGATAGACTGATGAAGAAAAAAGGAAAAAAAAAATCAAAGGACTAGAATAAAAACGAAAGAACAGACGTCACCACCAACCTTTATATAAATAGAAATGAGTACAAAGGAATATTATGATTTGTACATTAAGAAATTAGATAACTTAGATGAAATGAGAAAATTACTAGAAAGAGAAACTGTCAAAAGTAACAAGAAATACACAATCTGAATAGATATACAATAAGTAGAGATAGGATAAATAATCAAAAAGTGCCCAATGAAAGAAGAACCAAGATAGACTATGTAAAGGTGCAAATTTCCAATGATGAATGTAACTGAACTGTATACCTAAAATGTACCAATAAAATAAGTAAATAAATAAATAAATAAATAAATAAAGTTTTTAAAAAAGTACCCAATGGTAGTTGATTAGTAGTTTTTTAAAAGCCCAGATCTAGTTGGCTTCTCTACTGAATTCTAAAAAAATATTTAAAGAAAAATTAATATAAATTCTTTACAAACTTTTCCAAAAGTAGCTAGTTTTATGAAACAAGTCCTACCAAATATAATACCAAATACCAAAACTGCAAAATATTGCTGAAAGAAATGAAGATCCATATACTGGGGGGAAAATATATGTTCATAGATTGGAAAATGTATCATTATTAAAATGATAACACTCTCAATATGATACATAGATTCAACTCAATCCCTATTAGAATCTCAGCTGATTTTTTGTAGACACTGACAATCTGATTCTAAAATTCATATAAATTGTAAGTGACCCAGAACAAAACAACTTTGTGAAGAAGAAGGAGAACAACAACAATACAGGATCTGTCAGGGATTTAGCTCAGTGGTTCCACTGCAAGGACTCGAGTTTGATCCCTGGTACCAAAAAAAACCAAAACAAAAAACAAAAAAACAATATAGGGAGACTCGTGCTCCTCAATCTAAAAACGTAACACCAAGCTACAGTTAACAAAATACTATAGAACTAGCATTAGATAGACATACAGACCAATGGAATAGAATTGGCAATCCAGAAATAAACACAAATACCTATGGAAAATTGATTTTTGGTGAGAAGGAAAAGATCATTCAGTGAGGAAAAGAATGGTCTCTTCAGCAAATTGTGCTGGAACAGTATAGCCATGTGCAAAAGAATGGATTGGACCCTTACCTCACACTGTCTATAAAAATTAAGTCAAAATGGACCATGAATATAAGGGTTGAAAGTGTAAAACTATTAGAAGAAGACATAAAGGTAAATCTTCATGACCTGAGATTTGACAAATGATTCTGAGATATGACACAAAAAGTATAACCAACAAAAGGAAAAGTAAACAGGAATAGGAAACACCCAAAACACTCCAGGGGAAGAAGTCTTGGAGGCAGCAGTCAGCCTAATGGCACAGTCTTCAGGGCCTGCCAAACCCAGGGGATTTCCTCTGGGACACAGAGGCATGAGACTGAGACATTCACAGAGGAGGAGGTCCCTGACCCAGAGTTCACCATGGGAACTGTGAGCCACCAAGAAACAGAGTGGACTCTGTGAAGCTAGAAGTAACTGCCACAGAGGACAGTCCAGGCTCAGGCTTTCATCTTCTCAGCCATGGCAGGTATTGTGAAGCAGAGAGCAACTTGAGGAACTGCAGCCACTGAGATCCCTGAGTATCAGGGTCCAGAGAGACCACTGGATCAGCATTGCTGTCCCCCTCTTAGCCCCAAAACATCACTGATATTATAGGTCAGAGGGGGAATAGGTGAGATGGAGCACATCTGAGAGCTGAATACCAGAGAGGAGAGACACAACCAGAAAAGAACCTTTCCATGACACATCATAGTCAAAGTGCCAGAAATTCAGAAAATAATGAAGAATGTTGAAACCTGTTGGAAGCACTAAGTTGCTAATAAGGGCAAACCCATCAGAATAACAGCAGATTCCACAACATAAGCCTAAAAAAGCTCACAGATCTTGAAATGAAGTATTTTAAGTACTAAAATAACTGCCAACCCAGATCACTATATCCTGCAAAGCTATTCTTCAAAATTGAAGGAGAATAAAAGACCTTCCATGGTAAGTATACACTAAAGAAATGCACCACCACCAAGCTACTATTACAGAAATTACTTAAGGGACTACTAAAGAGAGATGATGAGGGCAACAACAAACACAAGGCCAAAGGAAAGAATAAACCCTACTAGGAGGGGAGTAAAACAAATGAGAAACAGAAAGAAATCAAACCCTAGAAAGACAACAATAATTAAATAGTAAATGCCTTTTAATAATATCACTTAATGTCAATGGTCCTAATTCTCCAATTACAAGACACCGATTAGCAAGTTGGATTCAAACAAACTAACAAACAAACAAGACCCATCTATGTGTTGCTTGAAAGAAACACACCTCATCCACAAAGACATACACAGACTAAAAGTGAAAGGGTCAAAAATGATACTTTAAGCAGCTGGAGCCCAAAAAGAAGCAGCAGTAACAGTAACTATACATACACCTGTTTGACAAAGTAGACTTCAAATAAAAAAAGGGTCAGAAGGCCACTACATATTGGTGAAGGGAACAATTCACCAAGAAGAGATAATACTTGTAAATATATATGCAGTGAAGTTAGCGTACCCAATTTCATAAAGCAAACACTACTTGGCATAAAAGGGTAAATAGACCCAATACAAAAGCACATGGAAAAATGTGTACCATCATTATTATTCAGGGAAATGTAAATTAAAACAATGATGAGATACCATTTTACACCCAGTAGGATGCCTAGAATCAAAATGTCAGATAATAAAGTGTTGGAGAGAATATGGAAAAACCACAATCCTTACACAGCACTGATAGAAATGTAAAATGCTGCAGCCCCTTGTGAGAAGAGTTCAGTGGTCCTTCAAATGATTAAACAGAGTAACAATATGACCCAGCAATTCCATTCTTAGGTAGAAATGAAAATGTATGTCCACACAAAATCTTATACACAAATGTTCATAGGAAGGTAGGAAAGGAGGGAGGGGATGAGGAAACAAGGAAAGAAAGGAGATCGGAGGGAGGGAAGAAGGGGAAAAGAGGGGAGGAAGGCAGGAAGGAGGAAGGGAGAGAGGAAGAGAAAGAAAGAAAACCAGAATCGTGGTTCATGCCACTAACGAGGTAGCCAGAAGGTCGGGGAGAAAGCTCCAAGGCTGTACATGAGTAGGAATACAGAGAACCCCTGGCAAGGGCACCACACATGTACACAAGGTCGCACATTTAACCCAATAACGATATCTTCTCTATCCAAGCCAACTCCATCCCCTAGCTCTCCACCCACTTGCTTATGTGTGTGACCACACACAGGGTTCTCCTGGGTCAAGGAACAGACCTCCCCTCCTTGCCCTCCCATGTCATTGACACCTGGATTCCAGCAGCACCAAGCTATCATTCCACGCTACTGCTCTTCTTCCAAAAAGATATTTCAAGTATGGATGGATCTGGGACACTCAATGACAGTCAAAAGTGTCTGACAAAGGGAAACCCAACATACTAGGAAAAGACACTGTCATTAGATCAAGAAATATGCTCAAAGACATCATTATGGCTTATATCTAGCTGTCTCCCCAAAGCCTCATGTGCTCATAAGTGGGGCTTATCAGAGCTGGCTAGATCTAGAGCATGTGATACTGGGATTAAGTGTGTGTGGTAGTACAGTAGTCTACTGACTGGAATTGTATAGTTTTGTGTGTGGATAATGGAAGCCCCACCTTGGGTGTGGCTGGCACCAATCAATAGGCTTATAGATTGGATGGAATATAAAGGGAAAGAGAGAAGGCAGGCTCACTGCTGCTGCTGCTGGCTGCTTGCTGCCTCCTGCCTGCTTTGCCATGAGCAGTTTCACCTCTGCAATACTCTTCTGCCATGCTACCCTGCCTGGGAGCCAGCTGGCTATGGACTGAAACCTCTATAAACTGTGAGCTGAAATAAACTTATCCTTTAACTTTGAGGTTGTGTATTTTGTCTCACCATGGAGAAAAGTCACCAAAACAGACAACTAGAAAGAGAGTGTACTGGGTAGCACAGGAGGCTGGCTGCATTATGAGGAGTCATGGTAGTACAAGATCCTAGAAGCTGGGGTAGCTTAGAGCTCAATAGGCCAACTGCCCAGGGCAGAAAAAGATATACTGGAACTTGTTGAAATAGACTTTGAATGTTCCTTGGGTGGAGGAGTGTTTTATGAAGCAACAGAAGAATCCAACAGTATTAAAAATTCTGGAAGCTCAAATCTATGTTTGGAGGGCATAATTGTACTTTGTCACAAAATGTTTAGTAATGTCCAAAATGTCCAACTTACTTTAATAGCATTAGGACATCAAGAAGAGTTAAGATAGTCCAGTACAGAAAGATAGTCATCCATATGTTTAAAATAGACAGGTATATAAATAGATAGGCATTGGCTATCTGGAAAAGTTCACCACAAAGGGGTGTTTTTCTCTCTAAAAAATGTAGATAACTAAGGGGTTAGTATGCTCCTGATTGGGTCCAATTCACTCGCTCAGGTTAATAGATGAATCTTTGCTAATGAAAGAGTAAGGAGAAAATTCTTTAGAAAGACCCAGCTCTGCTTTTTTCAGGTGTTGCTGTGGCCAGCTCATCAACCAGCATATTCCCCCTCTGCCAAGTGTAACACTCAGCAAAAATGGAGAGGAGAACAAACAGGTGGAGACGCAGCCAGAAAAATGGTCTGTCGGCAAACATACCCAGAGCTATCCAACAGATACCTATGGAATTCTTGAATTCCAGGGTGGGGGATATTCCAATAAAGCAATGGTAAGAGGGGCAGTTGGACACGGTGCCATGGGGACCTCAGCTTTCATCAGAGACCTGTCTTTCAGCCCCTAGACAACAGATATCTTGTCTTCTTTGGTGTTATGTCTCAATCTCCCTAGATATTTCATTGTAGAACCCAAAGATATATCTGTGCACAGTGATTTTTAAGTCAAGGCACCTGGAAACTGGACATCATTATAATGGACATACAATATCCCCTAAGTCTAGACCAAAGTTCTGACTTACAAAGCATGCTCTGGTCCAACTCAGAAACCACGTTTATTGCTTTCTTTCTGGTGATGGGAAATTTCTTTTTAAACAATATGGACCTGAAACACCCTTAAATGCGTTGGGACTCTCTGGAAATATTTGTTCTGAAGTCTGTCCACAGCTTTCCTGAGTCTGTGCTCAGCTGGAACAAAAAGACCAGAGTCTCACATGTGTCTGTAAACAGGAAATGCCCTCTGCCTTTCTGATGAACTTTGCAGAGAGGGGAGGCTCACCATGATCCCGTCCAGCTAACTCTGAATAACACTTTCATGTGCCTAGTTAAGCCATTTTTGCAATTTCATTTTATTTCATTAGTCCAATATCATTGTTCCAAAAAAATTCAATTGTGTTCCAAATGCCACAATAAGTGATCTTCTAAAATGGCACATTACCTATTGGTGTGGACACAAAGAAGTAATTCACAGGAACCAAGTCCTGTGACCATTGACCTCTTCTCCTGTTCCCTGATCCCCTTTTCCACTCACTCAACAATATCCTTATCCAGCTATGGAATTGATTCTTCCAAAGGCTAGGGGTCCAGATAAACTACAGGACACTCAGTTATATGTGAATTTCAGACAAACAGGAGATAAATTTACTACAGCTATGTCCCAAATATTACATGATTTATTGCACTTAGTAAAAATTTTGTACTAAATTATTTTTCATTGTTCATCTAAAATCTAATTTAACTGAGTGTCTTAGTCTATTCAGCTGCTATAACAAAGCACAGGTAATTTCTAAACAGCAGATATTTATTGTTCACAGTTCTGGCAGCTAAGAATTCCAGGATGGAGACACCAGTAGGACTGGTGTCTGGAGAGATCTTACCTTTTGCTTCATAGACAGTGCTCCAGGATGTATTGTGAACATGACAGAAGAGGTGAACAATTTCCTTGAGCTTCAAGGGCACTATCCTTTAGTCTTTAAGAGATGACAAAGGCCACCATTTAATACTATTACATTGGGGATTTAGATTTCAACACATGAATGATGGGGAAACACAACTCTAGCCCTGAGCATTTCTGTATTTTTAGTTGCTTATTCTTTCGAAGAACCAACTCCTTGCTTTATTGATTTTTTTGTATCATTCTCTTAGTCTCCATTGCATTGATTTCTGCTCTGATCTTTATAATTTCCTCCCTTTATGAGCTTTGGGTTTGTCTTGCTCTTCTGTATTTTTAGTTGCTAAATCCAGCATCCTTCCCCAAAATTCCCTTTACCCCCTTGGCCACAGACTCACAAAAAGGGCCCTGGGACGCTGAGACAAGCCAGCCAGTTCTTGCTTGGACATGAGGGAGAGCCCTGCTCCCCTTTGACATGAGGAACAAAATCAAAAACAGATGCTGAGCACCCCCACTCTCCTTTACAGTATATTCGTGTATCCTATGACACCAAGCCAGACTCCCTGCTTCATCTCATGGTGAAAGACTGGCAGCTGGAACTCCCCAAGCTCTTAATATCGGTACATGGAGGTCTCCAGAACTTTGAGATGCAGGCCAAGCTGAAGCAGGTGTTTGGGAAAGGTCTGATCAAGGCCGCCATGACCACAGGCGCCTGGATCTTCACAGGAGGCATCAGCACCGGTAAGAGCAGCCCCTTCTCCCTCTGTAAAAGTACACACCCTGGACTCATTGTGGTCCCCAAAGAGCTTCCTAGTAATAATCCTCAGACAACAAAATACACTGCATCCTGATCCCAACATGAAGTCTTTAGTCAATAAGGTTTGTTTTTGTATGATTCACTTTGCTTTAACAGCAAATATTATAATTATGTTAGTGTTCCATCACCATAATAAACACCCGAGATAATCCACTTATAAAGAGAAAAGGACTGTTTGACTTACAGTTTTCAATGTTTCTGTCTATGATTTGTTGGCGCAATTGCTCTGGGCCTGTGGCAGCAGGTCACGCTGGGAGCATGTGGCAGAACAAAACCTCAGGTCCAGGAATGAGAGAGAGACAAGGAGGCTGGAGTCCCACAACCCCTTCAAGGAACAGCCCCAGTCACCCAAAGACCATCCACTAGGCTACAGCTTTTAAAGTTTCTGCCCCTTCCCAATAGCACCAGGCTGGCTACCACGCCTGTGAGGGTTAGTCGACGTCCAAGTCACAGCGATACAATAGCAACAACAGTGATCGCCGCTGGCTCATCTATTACGCGCCACTCCTAAGTGATCACTGGACAAAAATTATCTTCAATGAGCCTGTTTCCAACTCTTCCTCCATTTTTGGAAGAGTAAATCGAGGTACCGAGAGCTGAAGAAACATCCCAGGTGTTCTGGCTCTCACTTTTAGCTTCATGCAGCCAGGGTCTGCCAGAGACCTTCCATCTTTAGGTCACAGACACTTGTAGAGAAAGTCCCTCTTCAGGTACTCTGGTATCTGTTTTCGTTTTCCCCATTTCAGGAGTTAAAGCAGGATGGTCATCATGACCTCAGAATCTTGGTATATTTTCCTTTGGTGACGAAAAGGAGTAGGTTCCATCTCTGTTTCACAGGGAGTGTCCTTCGAATTCACGAGAATAGTGGTGTGAGAAAGCAGAGGGCCCTAAAATTTGGCTTATGGCTGCTCACAGGTGTCGTCAGCCACGTGGGGGAGGCCTTGAAGGACCAGTCCTCCAAGTCCAGAGGCCGAGTCTGCACTATAGGAATTGCTCCATGGGGCATGGTGGAAAACAAGGAAGACCTCATTGGCAAGGATGTAAGTCACTGAAGACACTGATAATTTTTTAAAATGGAAGACTTTGAGATAATTGTGATATTCTCATGTAAGAAACAAGGAAGAGAGCTCCAATATACCCTTCACCTGTTCCCCTAGTGGTAGCATCTTACAGAACCACAGTACAGTACCACAACCAGGATGTTAATATCGATACAGTCAAGATATCAAATATTTCCATCAGTGCAAAGTTCCCTCCCATTGCCCTTTAATACCTATAGCCAAATCCCTCCTACCCTCATTCCCTCCTTAAACCCTGACAACCACTAATGTGCCACACAACTGTATAATTTTATCATTTCAGGTGTATCATATAAATGGGGCCACACAATGTATAACCTTTGGAAATGGCTTTTCTCTCTCTGCGTAATTCTCTGGACATTAGTCCATACTTTCATGTGTGTCAGTAGTTCCTTCCTTTGTATCACTAAGTGGTATTCATTGTATGATTACCATAGGTCATTTAACCATTTATCTTTTGAAAAGCATCTGGTTTATTTATAGTTTGTCTGTTATGAATAAAGCTGCCATAAACCTTTGTGTATAGGATTGTGTGTTAATGTAAGTTTTCATTTATCTGTGATAATTATCCAGGTGTACAATTGTTGAGTTATCATTAAAACAATTAAGTTCTTTCTATCTTAATATAGAGCAAGTGGGAAAAAAACTTCTAAAGAGAGGGTAGAGAAATGAGAATAAAGTTTAAGTGTAGACATTGCACACATACCTACTCCACTTTCTTCCTCTGTTAATATCCAAGCTCTACTGCTCTAAATCTTCACTGCGCATTTTGTCAGGTAACAAGAGTGTACCAGACCATGTCCAACCCTCTGAGTAAGCTCTCTGTGCTCAACAACTCCCACACACACTTCATCTTAGCCGACAATGGCACCCTGGGCAAGTATGGCGCCGAGGTGAAGCTGCGAAGACAGCTGGAAAAGCACATCTCTCTGCAGAAGATCAACACAAGTAAGTTGTGGGGAAGGGGCGCTACCGCAGGACTGGGGCCACAACCAAGGAAACCAGCTGAGAAGGAAATTGTCCAATGGTGTTGAAAGCTCTACCCTTGTTTTTGCTAACTCAATAGAATATGACTTACCTAGACCTTTCGTCTTAGCCGCCTGCCAAATCTCGGCACTGAGCTACATGTGATGCTTTACCCCAAGTTCACAAGTTAGTGTAACAAACAGCTTTGCAGTGGTCATCACCAAGTTGGTGCTACCTATCATCTTGCCCTGTAATTACTACATTATTTTTGAGCGCTGGGATTACAGGCATGCGTCACCACACCTGGCTATTACCACATTATTTTTAAAATGTTTTAATAGAATAAAAAACTCTTACTAAAGACTTAGCATGATTCCCTCTCTGAATTGATGAGTATTATGTGATCATTAAATATCTTCATAGCTCTGGATCTCTCACCCAGAGTAGGATGGCCAGATGGGGAAACCTCTGGGAAGGGACACCAGAGCCATTTGCTGCTGAGGGCTCATCGTACTTGCTGGTCACAGCGCTGAAGGGAAGCAGCCACTGCTGAGACATATTTGAGGATGAACTAGAGGAAGGAATGAACCCCAACCAGCTGAAATGATAGGAACTGGGTAGAATTAAAACACCTGGAATGATCTCTTGGAGATGCCCATATGTCAACAATTCTACTGTGAAATAATGACTAAATGATATCAAAGAAATTTTTGTTTTAACGATTTCTGGAGAGATTTCTGTGCAAGACAACCTAGGCCTGGGAAATGGTCATTATAATGCATAATTTAAGGGACTGTACTATTGCTGGAGAGGTTAGAATGGGGGTCACCTACTACAAAAAGATGTGGATGTCTAAGAATCTCGTATCTCAATGGATAAATTGGTTGAAATTTCTGTTGTTGTTTTCAACATTTTAAATTTTTCTGGACTTGTGAGTTTTCACACTGCCCTACTTCACCCAGCCATGTGACTTGTGGGCTTCCCTTTGTCATCCTTTGCCTGGGGCTCTGAGTGGGGCAGGGACAGCAAAGGGGTGCTCAGTTGTCACCTCCCACACCACAAGCTTTGGGGAGTCCAGCTTCAGCAGAGAAGAACCAGCTCTACTCTCTTTCTAGAAGAGAAGGTGATTTACCCACCAGATTCCTGAAGATCTAGAATCCCAAGCCTCGCTTGGGTTAGAAATCTCAAGGCAGAGTAAAGTCTATGCCATCTCCATCCATTCTCCAGAATCTCTTGTTCAGGGCTGGGCCTCAGGGAACTTTCAGAGCTTGTTTGCTGAAAAGATCATAACTATAATTATTCCAGTAGGAGACAGCAAATTTGCTCAAAAGACAAAATTCTTTTGGTACCAGGGATCGAACTCAGGACCTTCCACTTTCGAGGCAGTCTCCGTGCCACTGAGCTAGCTAAATCCCCAGCCCTGCTCAGAATATGTAAGCATTGCTGACTGTAGAAACTCACGGTGGAAGCCAATCAGAAACTCTGGATTCATCCTTTTGGAATTCTCACATCTTCTCATGATCTGTGCTAGGAGATTTTATCTGAAGCTCTAGAGAACTGTGAGGTCCAGGAACTTTCTCTACTACTATCTGTTAACGTTGATCAGCTACTTACCACCAGAGACACCTGGTGAAACAGTCACAGAGTACAGTCAGCCCTCAGCATGCATAGGTTCGGTGTCCAAGAAGTCCATCAACTGACTGGGCATGGTGCCACATGCTTGTGATCCCAGCACTTGGGAGGCTGAGGTACGAGGATCACAAGTCTCACCCTGGCCTACATAGTGAGTTCAAGACCAGTCTGAACTGCATAGTGAGACCCTGACTCAAAAAAAAAAAAAATTCCACTAATTACAGACAGAAAATATTTGAGGGAAAAATTCTGTTGGCCCTGCACATGTGCAGACTTTTCCTTGTTATTATTCCCTAAGCAATAAGGACTAGGTACACAGCACTTGCATTGTACTAGGGATTATAAGTCACTTAGAGACGATTTGAGCCTAAGAGAGGATATGCATAGGGTCCTTGCTAATGCTGCTCCGTTTTATATGAGGGGACTTGACATTCAAGGATATGGGTCTCCCTCCACAAGGGTCCTGGAACCAATCCTCCTCAGATGCTGAGGAGTGACTACACTGCACACTGTCCTGGCCAGTGCAGGGTAAAACTGTGAGGTGGGCAAACCTTTCCCTGCTGTCCCTTCTCTCCCACTGTACTCCTGCTCCTCCTGAATTCCAGCTTCCCAGAATCCTCCTGCCCGCGCCCCCCCGAGCCCAACCTGATGGTTCTACCACTACAAGTTAACTTGCACCACCGTGTTCTCAGAGAGTTCAATCATTTGATGAAAAGAGAGAGACGATGCGGGGAGTAAGTCACCCCCAGATGGTCCCTGGGTTGGTCTCTAAGATAACTTACAAGTTGAGCATCCTTCATCTGAAATGCTTGGGACTGGAGGTCTTTCGGATTTCGGAGCTTCTCAGGTTGTGAAATTATTTGCATGGACTTTATCGGTTGAGCATCACTACTGAAAATCTGAAATCAGACATGGTCTCCATTATTGGTTTTGGATTTTCACATGAGGATGTTCACCCTACACTGCCTTATTCCAGGTGCTGGAGGCAGAAACAGTAATAGCAGCGTTCCATATTTGTGTGTGACTTCGAGTTCACAAAATACTTTGATAGATAGGCATTTTCCTATATTTCAGCTCTATTGCTCCTTCACAAGACAAGGAAGGCATTGTGATTATTTGCCTTTTCCAAGTGGCTGTCTACACAGAAAAGTAGAAGGGGAGACTATTACAAGGGGGTCATGGGGAAGAGAGGGAAGGGAAAGGGGAGTAAAAGTAATGGTCGTTTGTTACATGCACGTACATATACTTCAAAATGAAATCCATTCTTCTGTATAACTAATAAGCACTAATAAAATTTAAAAATTAAAACAATTTTTTAAATGGGCCTCTGAGGCTCACGGGGGGTTGGTAACCGGCCCAGTGTCATCAGGCTGATGTGGGAGAGGCCAGGAACTGAACTGAGCTATCCTGTGGTTGGTCCAGATCCCCTTTCCCTGCATCATTCTTTAGGGGACAGCGTGGGTGGGAATTTCAGACCCTGGGTTGGGGAGGAGCACCCCTTAGTGCTTCTCACAGGTCACTGGGAGCTCGCCCACACCCCAGGCGAGTTACACATGGAATTGACCCACATGGGGGTCAGGAAGTTCAGGATTTTTGAGGCTTTGGGTTTTCCAATGAGGCCAGAATATGAGGTTTGAATACAAGAATGGAAACAAACATCCCGTGGCTGAATTCCTCCACCGCTTATAAACAGTGATGCTGTGTGCCTTGTCCATACGATCCTGAAGTTTTTCCTTTTCATCACGTTTCAGGTGAAGCTGCTGTACATAGGCCCAAGCAGTGACTGTGGTTTGTGTTGCAGGACTGGGACAGGGCGTGCCTGTCGTGGGGCTTGTGGTGGAAGGGGGCCCTAACGTGATGTCTGTGGTCTTGGAATACCTCCGGGAAGATCCGCCTGTCCCCGTGGTGGTTTGCGATGGCAGCGGACGAGCTTCGGATATTCTATCCTTTGCACACAAGTACTGTGAAGAAGGAGGGTAGGATTTCTGACGTGTGACCAAGGGTGGGTGCTTAATGCCTCCTTGTTAGGCCAAGGAGCACAGTTGAAGTGATATGCTTAAACATTCCAAAAATGTGTAAAGTGTGAAGATTTGATAGATCTCTTGTCCCATTCCTTAGGTTAGCCTTCAAGGGAGTGCTCAGGAGCCAAAATTCTCTCTCTGGTGGAACACACTCTTCCAACTTCATTCTCCCTTGTGAGATTTTTAGCAAGGCTGAGATTTGGGACAAGTGTGAATGTAGTTTTTGGCCATGGTGACTCTGTCTCTTATTCAGGGATACCCTCCCACAGCGACATTTCAAATCAAAGCTACCAGACGACACAGAGATGTCTGATTTAGTCATGAATGGATCTAACTGGCTTTGTTTTGTTCTCTTTTGTGTTTCCTTTGAACAGGATAATAAATGAGTCCCTCCAGGATCAGCTTCTAGTAACCATTCAGAAAACGTTTAATTACAGCAAGACACAATCACATCAGATGTTTGCAATTATAATGGAGTGCATGAAGAAGAAAGAACTTGTAAGTGTCTTGAGTTTATTTCCAAACAAGCTCTTCAGAGAACTATGTTTCCTTTTCTAATTCTGCCCATGTGCACTCAATAGAGTTGTTCATATTTTGGTCCAGCCTTTTCCAAGAGGCAGTTTACAAGTCCACACCAAACTGGGGATATATCCTCATGACAGAGGTGGAACAAGTCCACACAAGAGAAGGTTCTTGGTGCTTTCAAACCTTAGCAAATGTGAGGTGACATCCCACCATATCACCCAGGGGTGCAAAATATGCATCAGATTTCAAGACTTGGTAGAGACATATACCACCCTTTTTGACATACTTATAAAATCAAAATTAGGGCCGGGGATTTAGCTCAGTGGTTCCAGTGCCTGCCTTGCAAGCACAAGATCCTGAGTTTGATCCCCGGTACCAAAAAAAAAAAAAAAGAAAACAAAAGTAAAATCAAAATCATTTCACTTTCCAAATGCATTAATTATTTCCCACTCCTTCCTGTGTTTGTAAGAAATAGGTATTCCTGGTTCATGTAAGATGACATCTTCAAAATTCTAAATTTATAAATTTCTTATGAATATATCCAAGCTGATTAGAGATGGTTTTATCATCCCAGATGGCTATTAAGATATTGGAGTATAGATCTGGAATGGGCCCCCTCCTCTCCAGGGTGCTGGAGCAGATCAGGAAAATAATAAAATCAGAATCCAGGCAAGGGTTCAGAGTCAACAAAACAACCCTATGACTCCTGGATATCAAAAGCATTTGATGTGAAATTGTTTATCTTTCATTATGAGTCAGTCTCTTTTTGTTGTTATTTTAAACACCTGAATTCCCCCTCTTCTTTTCAACTTTACTTTAATTCCATCATTTTCAATTTCTCCGTTTTCAGGTCACCATATTTAGAATGGGTTCTGAGAGTCAGCAAGATGTTGAGATGGCAATTTTAACAGCCCTGCTGAAAGGTGAGCACTCAGAAATGGAGACCCCTGTGCTTTCAGGGCAGGGCTGGCCTGGGCCTTTGCTTAGGACCAGCAGTCATTCTCCCTGCTCCTCTCCAGCCAGTGACTGCATTGGATGGAGCCCTGAGCCAGCCAGGCTCCCTGGGGTGATTTTAGCAGGAAGCCACACTACAGTCACAGGGCTCCGGAAGGGTTTCTGTGAGGTGGTGTCTGTGGGTATCTGTGGGCCATGATGTGCTGAGATCAGACCTGGTTCCATTCATAACTAGTGCATGGAGGGCTTCTATGCTCAGTGTAAATATGAAACAGGTTTTCTTTTGCAATCACTGCATTCCACAGGGTTCTGTCTAATTTCTCTGGCCTGGCCCTAAGGACAGGCATCCACCAGGCACTTATGAGACAGGGTCTACTCTGGGATGACATTTCCTCCCTGCCTCCCTTTGAAACTGGGGCCATGTAGGGCAGGGAGGAGGGGGTCACCATGGGCTCATTGCCTGGCAGTGCACCTGGGAAGGGTGTCGCCCCTTGGCCTGCTTGGCAGATACCTGGGCAGTCCTGGGGTCCCTGCCCTTCTGCAGATAAGAGCCTTGAGTCTCATGGTTCCTCCTCTGTCACTCCCAGAGGGACATGCAGAGCTGCCAAGGAAAGAGGTGGCCTCCACTTCCCTCCCAGGTAGCTTCTAGGCCTTAGTGGTGAACTAGGAGCAAGAGAAAAGGCGGTGTTTCCAAAGGGCAGCACTGAGCCAGCCCAGGGGAAGCCTGGGCTCATTGCCTAGCACCTGTTAACCTGGTGGTCCAGGCACTGAGCTGAAAATCGCTCTCATTTCTTGCCTTTCTAGGAACCAATGCATCTGCTCCGGATCAGCTGAGCTTGGCACTGGCTTGGAACCGCGTTGACATTGCACGAAGCCAGATCTTTGTCTTTGGGCCCCACTGGCCGGTGAAACTGTTTCTCGATTCATATTGTTATTGTGACCTTGTGTAGATAGTATATTAGTACTCTCTCTTGACATGAATCTCAGGACAAAATCTGGGGTTTCTGATGTTGCAAAGGATAATCCTTTAGGGTTATTTGAAGATGTCGCTGCTTAACATTAAAGCACCAAAAATAAGGAGGAGGTGTGGGCACTAATTCCAGACTTAAAACAGTCTTGAAAAAATCATTTTGTCATTGCTGGTGAAAGTATGTCTGTATCCCTTTGGGAAAAGAAAGAAAGAGAGAGAGAGAGAGAGGCAGAAAGAAAGAAAGAAAGAAAGAAAGAAAGAAAGAAAGAAAGAAAGAAAGAAAGAGCGAGCTCATCAAAATTAAATGCAATGCCTTCCACCCAGGGCATTGATTTTTCAAATTATGTTCCATGAAACAAACCCTACACATCTAGAAAACCCTGTGTGTGTTTGTGTGTCTATGTGTGTGTTTGTGTGTCTCTCTGTCTGTGTGTGTGATGTGTATGTGGTCTTTTCATGTAGTGGTACTTGTGGTGTGGTTTTGTGTATTGTGTTTGGTGTCTGTATGCTGCATGTATGTTTGCTACGTGGATATGTGATGCGTGTGTGTAGTTTACCATGTGGTCTCTGTCTGGGGAGATGAGGAGATAGCATGTGTGTATGTGAGTGTATAACATGTAAAGGAAAGTCTGTGAATGACATAGTTTGTGTGCATGGCACATGTGTGGGAGGTGTCTGTGTGACATGGTGACATGTGGGGAGTAATATGTGGGCATGTGCGGCACAGCGTGTGTGCATGAGGTTGGAAGGTGTACATGTGTGTGATGTGGAAAAGCAATGCGCATGTGCGGTTCAGGACTATGTGTACCGCTCATATAACGGGCATGTGCGATAAGTACCTTTAGGCCTCCTGCTCCTTCAACCAAGGCAATCTCTTTGATCCATCTTATAGATTGGGACTCAGAATTTATTTTGTTTGTACAGGAGGATTGTGCTGTTTAAACATGGGGTAGAGGTCTCAAGATTGCTCACGTCCCCTTTTAAAATGCTATTCCTCAAAGCGTGGTGCCCATTTTGCTACACAAATGCATTTTATTTTTTATAACAATTTTTTTACCAAATTAGTACGAAGATTTTTATGGAATAAGATGAATCTATTAAAGAATTAAGATATTGGAGGACCGGTGTTCACACTGGTTACTTATTGAATGACCTAAATTAAGAAAAATAATGCAGCCCGGCATGGTGGAGTAGTCTGTAATCCTGAGATTACAGAGAGCCTGAGGCAGAAAGATCACAAATTCAGGCCCAGCCCAAAGAATTTAGCAGTTTAGTAAAACCCTATCTCAAAAGAAAAAAAATTAAAAAGGCCTGGGGACATAGCTCAGTATGAAGGCCTTGGGTTGAATCTCCAGGAAACACACACACACACATAAAAAATAAAAAAAGAAGAGGAAATAGAAAATATTTTAATTTAATTTTAATCTTTTGGTTTTGGTTTTTCCACTATCGGTGAAGGAATTCAATTCGTACATTACTAAATGAACAGTGTCGAGGCAGAATGTTTTGGTAGAGAATCCAGAATTCTCCAGAATGGGTTGCAAAAAGGGCTTGCTACTCACCTCACGAAGGTCTTGAGCTTTTCTACCGCCCACCTAGGAGTGGGAGTGTCCACCGAGCAGGACTGCTTTGCAGCAGGCCTGATCGCTGCAGCCCTGAAGGCCCTTCCTGTCCCCCCTGCATAACTTTTCCGATTCCCCCGGAGGTGAAGCCCAGGAACACAGCTGTTCGCTCTACTCCCGCTCACTGCCTTACAGGGTCGGAAGGGAAAGGATGGGTGGACCTGTCTTGTCACCATCCTTTCAGCTACCACCATGGCCCTGCCCAGCACCCTCGTGTTTGGGACATTTGACCCCTCCCATAGAGCCTTCACAGAACACTCTCCTCTCCGTGGTGTCACCTGGCCCATCAGTCCTTCCAGAAACTTACAGTGTTATAACGCCAGCCTGCCTCTTCTCCCCAAAATAGGTTTTTCTTTTTCAAATTCTTCTGCTATTACTTCACAATATTGGAGGAGAGAGGGAAGGTGGGAAACATGCTCAAACGACAGCCTGAAACTAAAAGTCCCTCTGTTTCCCTACAACGGAATACATGGTCTCCAAAGTCTTCCTTTAATACTTGAATTGCTCAAGAAATGTGTACTGTGAATTGATAGTCTTTCTAGAATTCGTGACACAATAGAGAATTTGTGGCAGGAGGGACTTTAGAATTCCAACACAACAAACAAGTCCTAAGTCTGATTTATTGTATTTTACTAGTTAAATTTCTTCCATCCATTCTTCCTATTTTTCAGTGCAAAAATGAAAGCTGCTTGAGAGTGTAAAGGTGGTTACCAGAAGTGAGGGTGTAGGGAGTGGGGGGATGCTGGCCAAAGGGTGCAGAGTTTCAGTTTGATGTGAGGAATCAGTTCTGATGACCTATTGTACAGCATGGTGAATATAATTAATAATGTGTACTATACTTCAAAATTGTGAAAATAGATTTTAAGAGTTTTCATCACAAAAATGGTAAGTTACACGAGGTGATGGACATGTTGATCACCTTGATTTGATCATTCTTCAGTATGTACAGACATCAAAACATCTCATATATATCATAAATATATACAATCTGCCAAGAGTCCATTAAAATTAAATGCATAAGTAATAAATAAAAATAAAACCAAAGCTTCTCCAATAAATCCATTATCAAAACATGCTTTTAAACAAAGAGAGAAAAAAGAGGCATTTGATATGTACAAGTAACAAAGTTATTGTGAATCTAAAAACTTAGATTAATAATTTTTGAAGGGGAAAAAACCTGAATTGTCTGAACCTTTAAGAGGAGGCCTAGGAACGTCACAACTATAGGTCACTTTGATACAGACAAAATCTACAAACCTTATTCACCCTCTGAGATTTTGGGAAACATGTCTGCTAACTTTTCAGAGCTAGAACTATTTATTTGACTTCCATCTGTGAAGGTAGGACCTGCTCTCAATAAAATTATGGACTAGAATCATAAAACCTAAAGTAGATATTGGCAATAATACCCAATGTTTGGATCAGATTGCTATAAAGAATCCATTTGTCAAAAAACAGGCTCTTTGTTGTGAGAAAAGGAAAAGTTTATTCCAGTTAACGGGGACTAGAAATCAGGAGATTCTAGCAGCTATCTGGGAAAAGCTGAGTTTATCACATCCCTGTGTGGATGAGCTGACATTGGGAGAGAGATAGCAGCTAGCTGGGAGAGATTTCATCCCTAAGAGGGGATGGGCTAGCACCAGGGGAGAGAGAGATTAGCAACTAACTGGGAAAGGAATTAGGCTTATACAGGTATGGAAAAGGCTAAGGAATCTGGGTGAAATATTTATGACTTGGATGCCCAAAGACAGTCTGCTCAGGTGTCCACACAATTACTGGACTTCTCAGTATACTATATTTGAGTCCATTTGCTCTATTTACTAGGAAGCTGCTGTTGTTTGCTGAGGGGAGCCTGTTTGCTTTTTCCTGTTTGTGAAGGACTCACTTAAGTCAGACCTGACAGATACTGAGCCTTATCCTGAATGTTCACTTACATGAGCATTATTGAATCAGCCTTCCCAGCGCTCACAAACTCTAATTGCCTTCATTTTGAGTTTGGAAAACAATTGATGCACCAAGAGGTTAAGTGATTTTTCCCAAGTTTGTTCAATGCTTTTAAATAGCACATAGGTCAAACAATATACCTTAAATTTTTTCTAAAAAAATATTTTGCATTAAATGGAAATGTAAATACAACTTACCAAATTTATAAGATGCAACAAGAGCAGTGCTTAGTGGCATTGAATGCCTGTATCAGGAAAAAAGAAAGTTCTAAAGCAACCAATCTAAGCACCCACCTTAGGAAGCTGGAAGAAGAAAAATTAAATACAAAGCAGAAGACAATAAATAATAGAAACTAGAGCAGAAATCAATGACATGAAAATAAGTAATCACAAAATTAGAATCTAGTTCTTTTAAAAGACCCCCCCCCCAAAAAAACCTCTTCCAAGGCTAAGAAACAAAAAGATACAAATTACAAATTCCAGAAATAAAAGAAGAGCCATTACTACAGATCCCATGAACATTAAAAACATAATAAAAGAATGTTACAGACAACATCTCCAGCAAGTGATTTCTCAGCCCTATCTTAGGTTGTGAATCAGAATTTCCTCTTTTTCCATGTGGTCCATGCCACATTTTTTAAGGTATGGTGTCCACAGTAAACACCCTGTGTTAAGTGTGACCCCAAGTACACAGCCCAGAGAATGTCGCCTGCCTTGTGCCAGTTCTACCCTTCTAGCAATGCAGAAACATAATGTTTCCATTCCCAAGGGTTTTGTTGTGCACACACCTGCTCGTCTATGTGTCCCTCATCCTGCAGTTCTGGACTTTGCTGCTCTTGGGCCAGGTGGTAGGTGTCTAGGTGGAGATGTTTTTCTTTTGTTACATCTCACCCTGCTAGATTCAGTCCATCGTGTCAGCCTGTAAGGGTTTTTAAATTCCAGTTAGGTACCCATCTCATTTTCCTTAGGGCTTAAACAAATGCCACAAGCACCCTGCCCTTGCTCCATTCTACCATTTTTTTTTGTACCAGGGATCGAACTTAGGACCTTGTGCTTGCCAAGCAGGCACGGCACTGCTGAGCTACATTCCTGGCCCATTCTACCACTTTTGCTTTTTGTTTTTTGTTTTTTGTACTGGGGATCAAACTCGGGTCCTTGCACTTGTGCAACAGGCGGCAAAACCACTGAGCCAAATCCCCGGCCCCATTCTACCACTTTTTAAAAAATATTTTTATTAGTACATGTTTCCCATATATAATGGTGGCATTCCTCATGGGGAAATTGTACCTGTACATAATACATCTTAATTCTTCCCCCCCCCAATTCTCCTCCCATCCCCTGAGCCTTTCTTCCTCTTCCTACCTACAAAAGCTTTATTTCCACTTCTTCCTTCCAATTCTATCACTCATCCTCTCAAATTCCTCCAGAACATTTGCTGTCAAGCTGTGTTAGTTGAAAAAGCCCTTTCTGCAAATGACAAGAGTCTCAATTTATAAAGCAGATGGCAGCCAACCCTACCTCCTGGAACCCCTCCTCAGACAAGGGCTTTGCTGGCCAGGCCCACAGCTGGTCCTGTGAAGCCATCAGCAGTGCTCTTGGAATCCCAGGGCATCATGACCCAGGAAGGCTGAGTGGATGAGATTATTTGCACACCCAGGAGCGCTCTCCTGATGCCTGACCATGTCTCTTCCACCTTTCCACTCACTTCAGGAGCAAAGACAGAAGCTACAGAGAGGAGGAAACAGGCTGCCTACTTCTCACTTGCTCAGCAGCTGCAAATGGCGGAATCATCTCTTCTTTCATTTTCTTGAAGCAAAGAAAACTTTAAATTAAAAAAATCACATTTTCACTCATTCACTCATTTAGCAAATTCTACTTGTCTGCTTCTTGTGTCCTAGGTCTTTTTCAGATGCTGGGGATGCAGGAATGAATAAAACAGACCTGCCAAGGTGTGCATGCCGGTGTGTGTTGGTGTATGTGTGCTGCATGTGTTGTATGTGTGTATGTAGAGGTGTGGGGCTGTCAGTGTGCTTGGTCGGGGATGAGGCATGGCCTTAATGCCTTTTCCCAACACTGCTTATTATGGACTGCAGCCTCTGGGAAGCCTGGTCCCTCCTGTGGATAACAAAGTCACAGAGAAGGGGATGAAGCCACCCACAGCCACCACCAAGGGGAGAGGAAAGGGGAAAGCCAAGAAGAAAGGGAAAGCGAAAGAGGAAGTGGAGGAAGAAACTGACCCACGGAAGCTGGAGCTGCTAAACTGGGTATGAGGAAAGCCCTTGCTCTTGTTTCCTGGAGAACACAGTTTGCATCACCCTCCTTCCTCCTCCAGAGAAGGAGCAGTTCTTACTGCCTGTGCTGCAGCCCCACCTGGGCTCCAAGTCCCAGGAGGAAGGGATAAAAAATTGACAGGTTATTCCAAATGGCCACAGCATGTTTGGTGCAGTGCAGCCATCATTTGTCAAAAACACTACATGCCTGTGCTTGTGGTGGGAAGGTGCCACTTACAGAAGTGGTCCTGGTCCTCTTGCTTAACAGTGGCTCCCTCTGCCCGGCTGACATGCAGATGCTTGATGCATGAAAGCACGTGAAACAAACCAATTATTACCACATAATTGCAAGTTGTACAACAAACCCTTTTTGAGGGTAGAGCCTGGGATTGGGTGTGGGGAAATAGCAGCTGTCTGGGCTATGAGGCTGGGGCCTCATGTGCACAGGTTCTCTCAGCCTCTCTGCTGCCAGGACACAGACAAGACAGAGCCTCCACAGTGACATATCTGGCAATGGTCACCGCCACTCACCATGTGGCACCCTGGGGGCCGATCGTGTGCCCACATGGTCCTGCCATGGCTACAGAGTAATTCTCAGTCAGAGAAACAAATGAGAGAGAAAATGCACAGGGTAACCCAGTATGGCTGATTTGTAATCCTCTGCAATTTATCTTTAAAAGGAGAAAATCCTCTGCATACTTTGACAGAACATGCAGGTGCCACAGTGGGGAGAGATGAAGCCAGTTTACCCAGGACAAAGAGCCTGGGGGGCCATGGGGTGAGCTCAGTGGTAGGGCACTTGTCCAGCTGCCATGAGGCCCTGGGTTCAAAGCAAAAACAATGAGGGGGGTGGGGGGAAAAGAACCGTGTTCAGAATACTCTGGGAGCTGAGTGTCAAAAGATCCTTTTGGTGTTTCCATCCCCTGCCTGGATTCCTACAGGTAAATGCTTTGGAGCAAGCAATGCTGGATGCTTTAGTCCTAGATCGAGTCGACTTTGTGAAGCTCCTCATTGAAAATGGAGTGAACATGCAATACTTTCTTACCATCCCAAGGCTAGAGGAGCTTTACAACACAGTGAGTGTCCAGAGGCGGGAGCATGGGGCCGGTGGCCTTCTGAATGTTTTCATCACCGAGTTATCTGATGCAGAAGTGTGCTCAGATGGGCACAAAATTGTTGGGCACGGTTTCAGCTGGGAGGTTCGTATTTAAGGATGGGCAGCTATTTCTCACTTGCTGATGTGTTCACATTCTTATCAATTACCACCACACCTAGCCATTCACTCCCTTCTGGAGTCCAACGGATGCTTTTCAACTTAAAATGGCCATGGGTCCCAATAAACACACCATAAATCAAAAATATCAGAAGTTGAAAATACATTGAACACACCTACTCTGCTGAACGTAGAACACTGCTGATGCCTCCCTTTGTGGCTGAGGAGCTGACAGGGAACTGCCACTGCCCAACGTCGAGAGACAGGGTTGAACTGTGTGTCACTAGCCCTGGGGAAAAGATCAAAATGCAAGTACAGTTTCTGTTACATACATACGTGATGCTTTCGCACCATCATAAAGTCTAAAAATCTAAAGTCGAATCATCCTAAGGCAGGGATTGTCTGTATTCATTCCCATCTACACTCAGCAAGTGAGAGAGTCAACTTCCTAAGTTATTAAAAGATGGAAAGGTTACCGGGGTGATTGATTAGTCAATTGTTCCTTGGGACCATCACATATTGAGGAGGCTTTGGTGAAAAACGTAGAACTATGTTTGCACAGCAAGGAGCTCTGCTGTATTAGAATGGAAACCTTTGGATGAATGAATGAAATCACTTTGTCTTATATTATTACAACAGAGATTTTGAGAATTGGTATTCTCTTTCCTTTTCTAAGAAATTAAGTGGTAGAAATGGTCCTCGGCAGTTCCCTGCTAAACCTTGGTGACTCTTAAACACTCTACTGTAAACTGTAAAATACTCTTTAAAGCAATTCAGTGGAAAATACATCATGTATTCTTAATGTGTCATCACTTAATACGGAGGGAACCAGCTGGGCATGGTTCTCAACTATGACCAGTGCTGTTTCATAAACTATGATCAGTGCTGTGTCACATTCCAGTTCTCACAATTCATGAATTTTATACAGTATGGTAGGATTTTGCTCCAAGAATTGGAGAGAAAAACACACTTAATACAGCTGAACACTTCTCTTCCAGAGACTCGGTCCACCAAACACGCTTCATCTGCTGGTGAGGGATGTAAAAAAGGTGAGTCCATCTACACTGTTTTATCGTCCTTACCCATGGCATCTTTCACTAAAACAGTTCTTAAAAGCAATTTTTTTGATTTTTCAAAGTGTATTATCTTCTTAGTGTTTTATGAGGCATAAGAAATAGTGAATCCCTCCCTTCACAAAAAGTTTATTTAAAATCATAGAAGAAAAAGGATAATCTTTTCTGAGTTGCACGTACATCCCCACAGGGTAGAACATGCTGGCTGGCTCCACGACAAAGCCCAGGGCAGCCGCCAGGGAGAGTCCCGCCTTGCGGACCTGCAGGCCACCGTAGCAGTGGCCAGGGCAGCCTCCCTTCCATGTTTACCTAACGCACTCTCACTCACCCACTGCGCTCTTCCAGGAAGTGCCCAGGAAGTTCCTTAATGAACCCCGAGTCCTGTGGACAACAGCACATGTTCTCAAGCCATCTCTCCCCCTGCTTTTTTGTTTGTTTGGTTTTGGTTTTTTGAGAAACAGCCTTGCTAGGTAGCCCAGGCTCGCCTTGAACTCACTGTGCAGCCCAGGCTGACCTCAACTGCCTCAGCCTCCCAAGTGCTGGGACCACAGGTGTGTGCCACCACGCCCAGCTGGTTCCCTCATTATTAAGTGACACCTGCTTGACTCACTTTCCACTGCTACCAACTATGGCGCATTTACAGTCAGTGTCCCTATAGACCCTGCACGCTGAGTGTTCTGTCGTGGCATTTCTTGTGTCTCTATCACCACAGGTTAGGGGACTACACTGGGTTTACTGAGGGGGATTCATGCTGGGCTGCATTCCTGACACACAGTGTGTGATAGGTACCTGTAGTCTGAGCAAGAGAAACAGCTCAAACGAAAACATAGGGTTTTGGGCAGAGTCCTGGATAGCTTGATCACATTTCATACAAATATTTAATTCTAACAATTTTCTTTTGAGGTAGGGTCTCGCCATGTAGTTCAGACCAGCCTTGAACTCACTACGTAGCCCAGGCTAGCCTTGAACTCATGGTGATCCTCCTGCCCTAGCCTCCCGAGTGGAGTGCTAGGATTACAGGCATATACCACCACACCCGGCCAGTTCTAATAATGTGAGACTGCACCTTCTACAGATATTCATAGAGCAGAACAGAGTCAGTGGGTCAGGGATTCAGGAGGGGCCTTTGTGACCCTTCACATAAGGACTCCAGTCTCCCCCTTCCATGGAACCCAGCTGGAAGGTAGATCAGGGAGCACAGCTTTCAAAAGTGATAGCTCCCCTAGCTCAGGTTCAACCATTTCTCACCTGAGTAGTTTCAGCAGACCCCTCTCTATCCTCCAGACCCATGCCTCTCACTGTTCCTTGCTTAAAATCTTCCAAAGTCTCCCCAAGGCCCACAGCATGAAGTTCAAGCTTGGTCCAAGAACTAAGTACCCCCTGGGGCTGGCCCATGTCCCCTCTCCTGTCATATGCCTGTCAGATTTGTACTGACTCCACCCGAAGGCTGGTATCCAGGGAGCCTGCGTTCTGTCCTTCCTCATGTCTTCGGCCCTCCTCCTCCTCCCCACATCCCCATTCCACCCACTCTACTTTGGCTGTCACCTTCTCCTGGAAGGTTTTTGTCACCCTCCCAGTGGTCTGTCCAGGCAGGCATGGGGCCACTCCTCCTGCCCCTCACACGTGCTGCTCCATCAGGGCTGCTGACAGCTCTGCCTCTGCCCAACATCGATCTCCTTCGAGCAGGACTGCATCTCTCTGTTGCTGCTAAGAAATCCTCAGTTTGGTCAAGGATCGAAATAGGGGCTGAGTGAGTACACAGTGCATGAGTGAGGGATTTGGTCGGTGTGGCTGGCCCTGTGGTAAGGGAAGGACATTCGGGATGGGTAATCTCCATGTGATAGATCTCAAGTTAGTACCAGCATCTCAGCCGTATGAAATAAACGAAGCAATACACAGCACGTAGCAGAAAATCTTTAAAAACAGCTGATCAGCTATGCCCCCCAGGACACATGGACCTGCTGGGATGAGTCACTAAGAATGCATGGAGCACCCCTCTTATGGTTGTTCCTCCCCTCTCGCTGACTCTGTTTCAATAGACCCTTTTCCATGTTGATGCTAAACTCTGTCCTTGCCACTATTCCCAGACACACTAGGTGGTGTGTGGGGTTTAGTTCTTACTGAAGAACTAGGCAGGAGTGGGTTCTCCAGAAAGCCACTGGACACCACAGAAGCTCTCTCCAGAAAAGCTCCAGCCCCAGTGCAAGATTCTGTTCTCCCTCAGTCTCCCATGAGGTCCTTCCTCTGCATGAAATCTGGCCCCAGAGCCCTGAGGCTCGGTTCTCCCCTGCAAGCAGCTGTGAAAACACCTTCCCATCTCCTTTACATTCACAAATGCAACCCACAGCCTAATCTGTCACACCATGAACACGCCCAGTCATAGACCCTAGGGCCACATGGGTTTCTAACCCTTTCTTCTCACTGGAAAAGTTTAACCCAGTTTCCGGAACATGGCTTAAACCTCCATCGTATAGTAACAGGCTGAATACTGTATTGTTTAGTTCCCTCATTTTGTTGCGTGATCTTCCAAGCTGGGCTGGGATGATCACTGACGCCCAGGTGTGTGATGATATCTACACTGTGAGTGCATTCTTACAGGGCCTGAGACAAACTCCTTTTCTTCCAGAGCAACCTTCCACCTGATTACCACATCAGCCTCATAGACATAGGACTCGTGCTGGAATACCTCATGGGGGGAGCCTACCGCTGCAACTACACCCGGAAAAGCTTTCGGACCCTTTACAACAACTTGTTTGGACCTAAGAGGGTAGAGCTCAGTGAATATTCAGTGTTTTGTGGTTCCTGGAGTGGCCTGTGGTTCTCTGTTGTGCTTCCCGATAATTCAGCCTGCTCAAAGCCAAACTCTTTGAGCTATCCCAGCACGTACCTGCCCCACCTTCTCCTGATTTGAGGCCTCCCCAGTTCTAGAGAATCTTCATGTGCAGTTATTCCCCATTACTACCTAGCATGTCAGCACCATGTTTCATCAATTGCATCTGCCCTCCTTCTCTGCCCACAGTAGGACTCCCTGGCTACTGTCTCTTCTCCCTCCAATCCATCCTACTACCCTACTACTGTAGCTGCCTTCGTTCAAAGCAGGGGGCAATGCCTATGACTCTCACTGCTCAAACAATCACAGCCAAATTCATTAACACAACATCCAAGGCTCTCTCCTGGCTGCCCCTATCCTATCAGAGCAGACCATGTACTTCCACTAATATCAAATCATATTCCTGTGCCTTTCATAGCTCCTCCCCTAACTGCTCTTATCAAAGCCCAGCACAAATGTCACATCTGTCCTGAATCCTTCCCCTCACACCCCATTCCAGAGCTCTGTGTTGGAACTGTTGTTAGGAAATTTCTCTGGTTCTACTTGCAATGAAGTCTTTAACTGACTTCTGTTGACAGAAGCAGTTTCCATAATAAAACATTTCTTTTCCTTGGATATAATCAATTCTTATTTCTATGACTAACAAGCATACTAATGTACTACTAACATTACTACTAGTAACAGTTATTTGAGTGACTTAATTTTTTTTCTCTTTCATCTTCCAGCCCAAAGCTCTTAAACTTCTAGGAATGGAAGTAAGTAGAACTTGTTTTCAATGGTTTTATGATATCTTGGTCAAATATATACATCCTTTACTTTGCTTAACACAAAATTGAACGAGTTGTTTTCCACAAATAAATCTACTATACAACTTACTAAAATCTACTTAGATGACTTAGCCAAATTACATAAAAGGATCATAAACATTTTAAAAGAGTGAAAGGCAGCAAATTCATTTGATAGAGTTAAGCTGTAGTTACAAAAGAAAAATTAAAAAACAGCAACAATAAAAACTAGAAAATAATGCCATTTATATATTCAAAAATTATAAATAATGCCAAAAGAAATTCAATAGAATATTTTAAGATCCTAAACAAGTAATTTAAGTTTTCCAAGAATACAAATATAATTTAATATTAGTAAGTCTTTAGTATATTGGATCATACCCAAGGTCAGAGGAAAAAGATATTACATGAAAATTTGTTCATAGATATCAAAGAGAAAATTTTTAAAAAATGTAAAACATATTTCTTAGTTGTAAAGAAAATTTAGTTCACTAGAGGGAGAATGGTAAAACAAATAGTAAACTAAAATACTTTCTGGGTATGGTTATGGTATGTATATATCTTACAGCGAGAAGAAACACGATGAAGCAGTACATTCCTATTAAAATCAAGAACAAGAGAAGCATGCCTATTGTTGCTGACATAATCATTGGCTTAGTTACTTTCTCATTGCTGGGATAAAATACCTGGCACCCATGAGTTAAAGGAGGAAAGGTTTATTTTAGCTCATAGTTTGTAGAAGTTCAGTCTGTAGTTGGCTGGTTCCATGGCAGCCAGAATAGCTGAGGGACATGGCAGAGGAGAAAGAGTTCATGGCATGGCATGGCAGGCAGGAAACAGCAAGAGTTTCTTCTTTCCCTTTTTATTCCACTCAGGTTACAAACCTATTGGTGGATACCACCCACACCTAGGGTGGGTCTTTCTTCTTCTTCAATAAATCCATCACCCAAGCCCAGAACTGTGTTAAACCAATTAGCAGACAAATCCAGTATCACACATCCATGATCCAGTCCCTCCCCAAAGCCCCACTTATGAGTGCATGAGACTTTGGGAGGGGAAACATTGAGATATAAGCTGTAACAATCATTATCCTTATTAGTCCTCAAAAGGGTGCTGAAAATTCTACCATATGGAAAAAGAAATGCTAAAGACAGAATACCCAAGAAGGGGAGAAAATGATTATCAGCAAAAACTATTATTTTGTACTCAGATATAGAAAACCCAGTAATCCAACCAATGTTCCCTCACAACAGAGCAAAAGTACCAGAAATACCCTTAATGGGAAAGTTTAAGAATAAAACCATACACATAAAAATATTTAAATAATTAAAAGAAATGCCATTAATTCAGACTATAGAGATTTACTATTATAACGATTCTCCTCAAATAAATTTATGAGCATCCCAATTCCATATGGATTCACTATACAAGGCTTTTAATTTTGTGTTCACAATTAAGACTGGCATTGTTTCATCATGATGTTGCTCTTATGAACCTATTAGCATTACATGTATTCCATAATTTCCTAGTTTCTCAAACTCTTTATGTCATGTAGGCCTTAACTGTTGTGTGAAAGTTTATTATACTTACCTCTATAATAGCCTGATCCCAGCCCTGTTTTTTAGGACTTTATCTTTCACTGCCTTTATAATAGTTATTATAAATATGAGTCTTTTTTGGCTTTCTATTTTTTTAGAGGCAATTTGGCTAATTTATATTTTCTTAAACTACGTATATTTCCTCTAGACTTGCAAGTTCATTAGTATAAACTTTTATGTAGTATTCTAGTCTTTTTTACCTTCTCTATATTTTTGTGTGCCATTTCTTGTTCTAATTTCTAAAAATTTTATTTCTCTCTTTTTCTCTTAACCATAGTTGCCTACATATTTTATCGGTGTTTTTGCTTTATCAACCAACTTTCTTTTTTTCTGTTTCTATTTTATTAATGTCTGCTTCTATTTTTATTCATTCCTTCCACATACTTTCTCTAGAGTTACTGTAGTTTTCCCTGTATTCCAATAAATACTTAAAGACATACACTTTTCCCACAGAATTGTCTTAATTGTATCCCATAGGTTTGGATAAGTAGAATCTTCATTGCCTTTTGTCTCTAAAAAAGTTTATAATTTCCCCTTCAATTCAAGAATTATTTAGAAGTGCATTTTAAACTTTCCAGATTCAGGCTTTTGTTGTGATCCTACTTTTCGTAATTTCTATTTTATTCCTGGAATGTGGCCTACATGCTTTCTGGTATGTAGAAGTTGCAAGACAGAAAATTTTGTTAAGTATAATGCCTGAGTCTCTGTGTGGGTATAATTCTTATGTTTATCCATCAGATCCAGCTTGGAATTCTGAGATTCAATTTGCTTCTCCACTTGATCATTTTTTAAAAGATTAATTTCCAAGTGAGGTGTGTTTAAAGACTTACTGTGATTATCAATATCACAAGATTTCATCTCATACTTCCAATTCATATTCTTTGTTATTTTATTGAGTTGTTTTTCTTTTCCTTATTGACTTATGGCAGGCCTTTGCATTTTAGGGAAATCAAGTCCTTATTACATTCGCTATCTGGCCATTATTTTAAGAAAATTTGTTAACAATTAATATTTTATTAAGATTATATGGTATTGAAAGGCAGATTTATGGAACTTCTGTTTTAAAATATTTTGCTGGCCATTAGATTATCTTTACCTCATTTTAAATATTCTTGAAAATGAAGCTATGTTTATTATTAAAATTCTGTCAAGTCCACTTTTAACCTGTATAAGCTGTCTTAGTTACTTTCCTCATTGCTAGGATAAAATACCTACCATCCCCAACATAAAGGAGAGGTTTATTTTGGTTCTCAGGTTTAGAAGTTTCAGTTCATGTTTGGTGGGCTCAGACACAGCAGGTGGGCCGAAACAGCGCGGTGGAAGAGCTTCCTGGAGGGAAAGCTGATCAGTTCAGGCGGGGTGGCCAGGAGGCAGAAAGAGAAGGAGGAGCCCAGGAGGAAGACACACCCTTCTAGCGCCAGGCGCAGAGACCCGCCTCCGCCTCCTAACAGCGCAGCGAGCCCTGCGTTCAGCTGAGTAATCAATCCACTGATGCATCCTCACGAGCCACCACCTTCCACGCACAGGAGGCTCTTGGGAGACAGCAGAGATCTAACGCAGAACATAGACCAGCCCCCCCTAACTTACTGTGATTGTAGTTTCACTGTGACACAATTAGAAAATTAGGCTAGAAACATTTAAACCAAGATGCAGTCATTTCCGCCAGAATGTTAACACAACTCCGCCTGACATGAGAACAACTGGTCATCTGTGAACAACTTGTGATGGGAATCGAGGAGCCAGGTTCTGCCCAGGGTCTCCAGCCTGTCCGAGCTGTGCAGCTGTAGAAGAGTTGTTCAGACTTTGAACCACAGCTTTTTGATCTGAGGAAATGGGAGGAGATAGATAATAGGGCCGAGGGTACAGCTTGGCGACAGAGCGCTTGCTTACCACGCGCCAGGCCCTGCTTTTGGTCCCCAAGATGACAAAATCAAAAAAATTAAAGTACACAATTGATGAGAAAGCTGTTTGCAAAATCACAAGTACAATCACCTCTCAGTTTCCGCAGGGGATTTGTTCCGGGATCTCTCAAGTATAGCAAACCTGCATACTCAAGCCCCTGATTTAAATAGTGTCATATTTGCATCAAACCTGTGCACGTCTCTCTGTACACTTTGAATCATCTGGTTGACTTGCAACACCTAATACAATGTAAACACTATGTAAACAGTTATTATACTATATTGTTGGGAATAATGGCAAGAAAAAATGTCCAATTAGATGTAATTTTCTTCTTCATATTTTCAGTCCGAGGTTGGCTGAATCTGAAAAAGCAGAGACCGAAGACACAAAGGGCTGACTGTATCTGTTTCTGTCATTGACTGAGTATAAGTCTTAGCCTGAAAGGGGCCAGGGATTTAGCTCAGTGGTTCCGCCGCCTGCCTCGCAAGCGGAAGGACCCGAGTTCTATCCCCGGTACCAAAAAAAAAAAAAAAAGTCTTAGCCTGAAATAGGCTAAGCCTCACAGATTTCCCTGCCAACTCTCCCAATCCTGACTCCCTCTCTTACAGATCCTGTTCCATTTGCAACACGTGGGGAAAGGACAGTGCTTGTCCAAAGAGGAATGTTTGCTTTCTTAGAACATTAGAGGGAAACCTGAAACATTTTCCTCTGTCCTCTTTATGTTTTTCTGTTAACTTCTGGCTCAGCTACGTCTGTCGAACAAGTGTTGATGTTTTGCAGCACTGGAAGGCTCCCTGAGGAATCAGACTGTGGACTTTACCTCTCCCCATAGTGTTATTTACCTTTAGTTTTGGGGAGGTCTTTTGTTTTTTGTTGTAGTTTTGCTGCATGAGTTAAAGGCTCCTAACAAAAAAACTCTGCTAACCCAAGATTATAGGTTCCTCAAACCGTACCGTGCTTTTCAGTTCATTTGGTTGTAGGTGGCTTACTTATCATAATAAGCATGTACATCATTTCAGAAGGATTAATACACTGAGTGGAAGCTTAAAAATGTCCCTATGAAGTTTCTTCATTACCTCTAAGTGAAAGTTTTCCTCTCTCCAGTGGTGCCAGAGCCCTTTATTGCACATTTAGGAAGATCTGTGGGGAAAAAAAAACCCGTGTTCTCCCCTCAGGATGATGAGCCTCCAGCCAAAGGGAAGAAAAAGAAAAAGAAGAAAAAGGAGGAAGAGACTGACATTGATGTGGATGACCCCGCCGTGAGCCGATTCCAGTATCCCTTTCATGAGCTGATGGTATGGGCCGTGCTGATGAAACGCCAGAAAATGGCCATCTTCCTGTGGCAGCGTGGGGAGGAGCGCTTGGCCAAGGCCTTGGTGGCCTGCAAGCTCTATAAGGCCATGGCCCACGAGTCCTCCGAGAGCGAGCTGGTGGATGACATCTCCCAGGATCTGGACAACAATTCCAAGTTAGTGTCTATGTGGAATCTCAGGGCCAGGGTCGCCATTGCTCAGGTCCATACACTTGCTGCTCCCCCAGACCAGGTAGGCCACTTATTTTGGCAAAAGGAACACAGCACTTTATTCAAAGCTAGCTCCAAGGAGATGGAGAGGCCTCTTCTGCTTCAGACCTCCATTTCCCTGAGATCAGGTGTGCAAGGGCCTTTTATAGTAAGGAAGAGAGGGGAGAGGGAATACAATGAGGCATAGACGACTTTCTTGTTTCATCCCTGCTTCTTCCTTCTCTGTGGAAATGAAGCCAGACTCCAACCTCCTAGTCTGCATATTCTGCCCATTCATCTGAGTGGAAGAGAGGAGGAGGTGCTGGCTTATGCCCTGGGTATGAGGAAGCTTGGAGAAGAAAACTGACTCTAATAGAAAAAAATGCTTTCTTTTTTTGTACCGGGGATCAAACTCAGGACCTTGCGCTTGCAAGGCAGATGCGGTGCCACTGAGCTAAATCCCCAGACACCCAAAATTCTAACTTTCAAAAAAGATCCATTTTGCCTTCCTGGTCACACAAGGAGAGACTACTGTCCTGAGAACTTGTCCCTTTGCAGGAAGGGGTGGCTGTAGTACTTCTTGCTTAAGGATCATTGTGGCTAAAGCCATTCAGTATTTTTTCTACTGTATCTCTGGGACATTTCTGGTTGTCACTGTTTTGGTGTGCTGCCTTTTCAGGCCACAGTTCCTATGCAAAGACAAATTTCCATAAAGAAACATCCTAAGGAGTAATGCAACTTCAGTGCACCTGTGCCCTGGACTTCACATGTCATAAGGGATTCTCGGGGGATTTTCCCCCCTGGGGCAGGATGGCTAAAGGGGTGGGTATTTCTCTTCCCTTGTTATAGTTTAGGCTTAATAAAAGCCTAGCAGATTAGGCTCTGTTTAACCAGTTTCTCAAGAGGGCAGGCCTGGTTAAGAAGAGCTGAGTGCTAGGACATATTTTACAATAATTTCCTTTCCCCTCCAACTGCCGGAAGGACCAGGGGCTTTTTCTCCTTTATTCACTGCGAGAGCCCAAACAGGGTCCTGGACATAAAACTCACCAGATCCCCTGTGGCCTCGGAATTTTTACCTTGCAGACCTGTCCACATTGAGCTTCCAGAAATTCATCACCAAAGCTCATGTTTCCTATTCCAGCCCTGGACTCAGATGTTTCTGCTCCAGTAAGTGGTGATTCTCTGTATCCTCCTGTCTGTCCCTCCATGTCTGGGGACAGCAGTTTTCCCTGTGACCTCACTTCTCTGATGGAGCTAAGAAGAGATGCTGTTTTTTCCTCTTGTTTGGATTTTGCTTGTTGTTAGAATGGACCAGCAGCTGCCAAGTTCCTTACATGCCAAAGTGGAAATCTGAAGCCCCAGAACAACTAAATGCACATAAATGAGCAAATACAGATAACTTTGCCAACATCTAACATCTCTGTCTGCTGAAACCCGCTCCTTTTACTTTGGACTCAGTCCATTCTAAAATCACTAGCCAATTTCTAAATGTTGGGAATTTGAGGCTGTTTAGAAATGGGGACATGTTCTCCTACGTCATGGGTTCCAGATGCCATCATAACGTGTCAGCTGCACCCCAGGACATGGGACAGGAGCTACTGCAGACAGCATGTCTCATCAGAGGGCAGGGAAAGGCATAATTCCGCCTTCTCCAGCCTTCAGCTCACAATAGTGACAAAATCTATAAAATAAAGAAACAAAAACAGAGGAGAGCAATCGCTACATGGCCATATTTTAATCACATTCCATGACAAAAAGTTAAAGGAATGGGAAATAATTATGGCAATCACCAAATATTTGAGTCAGGATCAGGGAAAAAGGAATAAATTTGATGTTCAAAACCCAGCTGTGTCACATTCCCCATGTCCTCCTCCAACTCCTACCACTCCTGCTAATGTCCCTCCATGAGCAGTTAGATGCTGCTGCTCTGGGCCTTACGACACCTACATTCTATCTCTATTAGCACGGAGAAGGTTGAGTGTTCTGGTGATTGGTGCATTATGGAAGTGCTGCACACATACAGAGAAGGCACATATCCAATGTATGGCTTGGTACCTGTTCACAAATGCAATACACTGACACAGTCAGGACCCAGGTTAAGGAACTGAGCCCAACCAGCACCCACAAGTCCTCCTGGTGTCCCTTCTCAATGTCCTCTTTCTCCCCCCCCCCAAGGACAGCCCCTACTCTGACTTCCAACGCCTCAGGTGCTGTTTTTGAGCTTATCTTGGCTGTCTTTTCTCTTTGACCCCCTGATCTGTGCTCCAGGAGAGTGAATGTGCTCCTTCCTCTGGTCTCTGTGTCCCTAAGGCCTGAAGGGCAGATGCAGGATCAACCTGTAGCTCTATGTGTAGCAAAAGCAGTTAGTCCTCACCCTCCTGAGCACAGAGCCCTTGCCCCTCCTGGTCCCCTCTGTTTGCTTTTGTGGTTTTTTTTGGTACTGGGGTTCGAACTTGGGACCTTGCACTTGCAAGGCAGGTGCCAGAACCACTGAGCTAAATCCCCAGCCCAGCATTTGTAGGAATCTTTTTTTTTTTTTTTTGATACTGGGGATCGAACTCAGGTCCTTGTGCTTGCAAAGCAGACAGCAGAACAACTGAGCTAGATCCCAGGCCTCCCTGTCCCCTCTGGAGACAAAACTCAAGAGCTTCCTGCTTGCAGAGGACATCCATGGCCATTCCAATCATGGATTCTTTGTCCTACGGCTCCCCGTGTCTCTGCAGAAACATCTGTCTTAAAAAGAGCTTGTGGCCACTGTGGCTTCGCCCTGATTCCATCTCTTTCCCTCCAGAGACTTTGGCCAGCTTGCTGTGGAGCTGCTAGACCAGTCCTATAAGCACGATGAGCAGATAGCCATGAAACTGCTGACCTATGAGCTAAAAAATTGGAGTAACTCCACTTGCCTCAAACTGGCCGTGGCAGCCAAACATCGGGACTTCATCGCTCACACATGCAGCCAGATGCTACTGACAGACATGTGGATGGGAAGGCTTCGAATGAGGAAAAACCCCGGCCTGAAGGTACATGTGACAATGCTATTAGGGGTAAGAAAAACACTGACAAGTGACATCGAGTGCACTCTTCCTCCTTGCTAAGCTGAGCTACGCACTTCCTGCAGGTCATTTTATTTACAGTAGTCACACCTTGTCCAAATTTCACTTTCCTTGGTTGCAGTTACCCAAAGTCAACACAGTCCAAGAATAATGAATGGAAAATTCTAGAAATAAACAATTCATAAGTTGATTTTGTTTGTTTGTTTGGTTTGTTTGCAGTACTGGGGATGGAACCCAAGACTTGGTCCATGCTAGGCAGGCATGCTACCACCGAGCTACACTCCCAGGTCCCCTTCATAAGTTTTAAAGTGGGAACTATTCTGAGTAGCATGATGAAATCTCACATAATTTCACTCCATCGCACCCAGGATGTGAATCATCCCTTTGTTCAGTATCTCCACACCGTATACACTACCCATCCATTGGTCACTTAGCAGCTACCTTGGTTATTGAAACAACTGCCATAGTAACACAGCATTCATGTGCAAGTAACCTTTATTCTACTTAATAATGGCCTCAAAAAACAAGAATAGTGATGCAAAAGGGCACCAGGGCATAAAACTTAACAAATTAGCTCAGGTACTATGTGTCAATGCTTCATGGCATATAAGAAAAAACATAGAATATATAGGATCCAGGACTGTCTGTGGTTTCAGAAATCCACTAGGGCTCTTGGAACATGTCCCTCAAAGAAGGAGGACCGGTGTATTCCTGTGAGCAACCCCATGAGGGAGATACTATGACAATCCTTGTCTTATAGACGAGGAACTTGAAGCTTTGAGATTAAGTAACTTGCCTAGGTGCTTAGCTGGTCTGCATGAGGCCATGACCTGAACCAAGGTGTTCAGTAATGCCAAAGGCCCTGTAACCAGCATCCTTGCTTAAGCTGCTCCTTGTCCTAGTCCATGACTCCAGCTGGAGCCTACTAATCTTGCACCCTGGACAGGTCACCTACCCGCCATTAAAGCAGAGACCTCCCCATTTGACCCAGCTATTCCCCTGCTGGGTATCTTCCCAAAAGAACTAAAAGAATCATACCACAGTGATATATGTACACCCATATTTATAGCGGCACAGTTTGTAATAGCTAAAGCTTGGAAGCAGCCCAAGTGCCCATCAACTGGAAACTGGATAAAGAAGACATTTTTTTTTATAAAATGGAGTACTACTCAGCCATAAAGAATGAAAAACTTTAGAGTCATTTATAGCTAAATGGATGCATATCGAGGCCATACTCTTAAGTGAAATAAATAGGACACACATGTGTAAATACCGAATAGTTTCTCTAGTGTGAGAAACTGATAGTGTAAACAAGGGTTAAAATGATTAAAATGAATAATTGATAATTTGAAATAGGAAAAAAGGTCCAAAGACAAAGGGGTGAAGGGAGGGGAAGGGGAAAGGAAAAGAGGAAAAGGAAAAACTCCGAGAAAAGAAAAAAAATGGAAATGAAATCTATGTAAATAGGGAAGGGCGGAGGGGGTGAAGGGTGCACAGGTAATGGGGAAAAAATAAGAACCAAGATACATCATGTACAGGTAGAAACACCCAGTGATAAATGTAAACGAATTGCATACCTAAAATGTAACAATAAAAGAACTTAAGAAAAAAAAAGCAGGGACCTCAATTCTATTTCAGTAGATCCCCTTATATGCTGAAATTGTGTGATATTATTTTAAAATGTGTTGCATTCATTACATGGGGGTTATGAGAGAATACAGAGCTATGAAAAGGTGTGAAAAAGATGTAGTAGGAAGAAAATTGTATTTCGATCAACCCCTATCCCTGCTGTTTACTACTGTTAACTACTAGGGTATCTTAAGAAAATATTCTATTCTATAGGTAAACAGCTATCTAATGGTAATTTTATGAGATTGGTACGAGAATGAAGAAAAACCAGTACAGGCTGAGTCTCCATTATCTGAAATGCTTCAAGTATTTCAGATATTTTTTTATTTTGGAACATTTGCATAGATATAATAAGATATGTTGTAGATGAAATCCAAGTCTAAATATAAAATTTGCTTATGTTTCATATATACCTTGTACATATAGGCTGAAATAACTGTATATAATATTTTTAGTCCACCTGCATTTTGACTATGACAAGTCACATGAAGTTAAGTGTGGATTATTTTACCTATGGCATCATGTCAGCACAAAAAGTTTCAGACTTTAGAGCATTTCAGACTTCAGATTTTTGAGTTAGAGATGCTCAATCTGTATAATGTTACATTGTGTAGAATGGTCTGCCAAGTAGAATGCACTCTGATTCTTAAAAATATGACTGTTATGTCTAACTGCCTAATTCTGTATCATACACTAAACTGATATGATACAAGACCTTGGATGATAATAAACAAGTAATTTTCAGAATACCAAGAATAAAGAGATCCTAAAAGTTTTCAAAGAAAATGGTCACCTTCGAAGTGCAGAATATAGGATTGACATCACACTTTTTAGTAGAAACCGAAAAGGCGGCAATGGAACAAGGCCTTCCCGATTCTGGTGGGAAACATTTGGAACCTGACTTAAGGTACACCGGAGGATATGCATAGAATATATGCAAATACTAAGCTACTTAAGGGTCGAGAGCAGTGGTGGAAAACCTTCCGCACACCTGCTGCAGCAGCTGTTCGTACCATTGAAAGCGCTAAAAGGCTCGCCATCACTGGTCTATAGCATCTGGAGTTTGGTATCCACAGGAGATCTTGGAACCAAGCTCCTATGATTACTAAGGGACCACTGGACAGGGACATCTTTCTGGAATCACCACAGCTTAAATATTGATGTATCTCTCCTCATTCGTAGGTTATCATGGGGATTCTTCTTCCTCCCACCATCTTGTTTTTGGAATTTCGCACATATGATGATTTCTCATACCAAACATCAAAGGAAAATGAAGATGGCAAAGACAAAGAAGATGAAAATATGGTCAGTGCTATCCTTGATCCTAAGAGTATCACTGTTCTCATTTTCAATGTTGTTGGTATTTCTCATAGTGTGGATTTAGGCACCTTATTAATTGGGGAGTAACAAGGCTAAATATCTCTCTTTTTAAGGTGCCTGTGTGCTGGGTGCTCCATTTCCCACTCAGCAACCTGCCTGCCATATGCTGTTCTCTGTTTTCCAGGATGCAAATGCAGATGCCAGCTCAAGAAAGGGGGATGAGGAGAATGAGCACAAAAAGCAAAAAAGTATTCCCATTGGAACAAAGATCTGTGAATTCTATAATGCGCCCATTGTCAAGTTCTGGTTTTACACAGTAAGGCTTCCTCCTCAGCATTTGCCATTCAGTATGTTTTAAACACCGAGAAATGTCAGAACCAAAAAAATTTCAAGGCCTTAAAAAGGTGCCTAAAATTCACTGTATTAAAATGAAGTATGAAAACAAAACTGGGACTACTTGAGATTTTTAACTAGAATTGGATTGAAATATCTTGTCATATACTTATATGTATACAGGAATATGGCCATGCTGGTTCCAAATACATCATTTCATAAAGCAAACTAGTCACATTCTGTTTGCCTATGAAGAAAGATTCTTAAATCCCTTGAGTAATACAAACTTAGGGAAATACCATTTGATTTTAAAATTAACAAAGATAAACAGTGAATTAAAGAGTGAACTCATAGGCGGTACTTTACATTAAATGCAGGGTAAAAGGATATGGCTTATGTCAGTCAGCTTCCTTCACTATAACAAATACCTGAGGTAATCAACTAATAAGAGAAAAGATTTATTCAGGTGCTCAGTTCAGGAGGGGCCAGTCCATAATCAATTGACCCTGTTGCTTTTGGGCCTGAAGCAAAGCAAAAGCTCATGGCAAGGTGTCACATGTCTGAGCAAAACCACTTACCTCATGGCCAGGGAGTGAAAGAGAACACGAAAGGCCTGAGGTCCACAAACCCCTTCAAGGGCACAGCATCAGTGACCTCACTTCCTCCCACTAGGCCCCACCTCTTAAAGGTCCCACCACCTCCCAGTAACACCATGGACTGAGGAACAGGCCTGTAACACATGGCTCTTTGGGCTATATCAAAACTATAGCATGGCTGAACCCAGATCATGAACTCCTACAATAGGGAAGCAAATCAAAATCTCTGTGCTCTGCAGTGCTCACCAAACTGAGCTGCGCAGCCCCTCTCCAGCCTCCTCTGGTATCCAGGGCTCCACCAGTTGAGAGCGTGATTCACTGGTGATAAGAGCAGAAGAAGCAGGAGCAGGTGGAGTGTTTTTGTGGGAAACTAGTCCAGCTACAGGCAATCCCAGCAGGGCTAGCTAGACACACGCCACCTTGGCGCCCATGTCAGTACAGAGAAGGGACGGTATTTCTCCTGAAGTCCGAGCCATAGCCCACGAGAAGAAGGTTCCGCCAGTGATTGGGGAGGAGCAGGTGGTGGGATATGGGGTGCTGGGTACAGGTGATGAATGGGCAATGAATGAGGGTGGGCAGGGGGCAGAGTGTGTTCAAGGTCAGCTATGGCCCTGAACACCTAACCTCTTGGAAGTCACATCTGATAATGCAGTTGAAGCCACTGCCGCCCATCTCTTCTTGGTCAGCACCAGGTGAGGGCCTGGAGTATGTGCTCAAGCCCAGATGCTTCCAACAGGGCAGAGTCAAGGAGCTGACAGCCCAGTGCAGTCTCCTCAATCTTCAGCCCCACCAGACCTCTGGACGCACTCTGTGGATGTGGTAGAAGGCACCACACACTTACAGCTTGCTGGGGAGTCTAAGACAGCCCAAAGTTTGAGAACTCTGGCACTAGCCCTCCTGTAAGGGACAGATGGTTGTGCTGGGCTGCTTTCTGTTTCTGTAACAGAATACTTGTCACTGGTCATTTATATAAGAAAAAGGGTTATTTGGCTCACAGTTCTAGAGGTCCAAGACCCTGTCACTGGCACAGTGTTTTTCCAGAGAGGCTCTCATGGCAGTTCAACTCATAATGCTAAACTGAAGGGACAGCAAGCATGTGTGGCAGAGGAAGAGAGGACAAAGGAGCTGACCTGCTTTATAACTACTCACCAATGACAGAAGAAGTGCTTTCCCAAAATAATCGATCCAGTCCTGCCAGAGCAAGAACTCACTCTCTCTGAGAGATGGCACTAATCTGCTCACAAAGGCTCCTCGTCCAGGATCTAAATACCTCCTGTTAGGCCTTACCACTTCTCAACACCTTCACCTTGGAAATCAAATTCCAATTTTAGCAGGGAAAACCACATCCTGTCTTACCAATAGTGGATACAAGGGATTTTCCCTGTAACCTAGCAAAATTTAGGCAACTGGAAGGGGGATCTTTAAAAAAAAACAAAAAACAGCCAAATCACAAATACATGATTGCTAGCACCTCTCTTCCAAATCTTCAGAAAGGGCCTGGACCAGTGAAGGACCCCAGAGCTGATGTTTCCACAGCTGCATGGACAATCAGCCAGGGGCAGGCACCTTCAGATAACCTCCCCACGCCCCACTTCTCAGTTCCATGTGCCCTGCCTCACCCTCACTCAACCAGCTCTTTCCTTTCCTGCCAAAAAGTGAGGGAACTTCTCATGCCTACCGAGTATCAGGCTTGTCACTGGAACTGAGAGGACGGTTAGGTCAGCGTAGATGATTTATCCACATGTTCTCTTCTCTTCCAACTTCTCCTACCATCCATTAGTAGCAGAGAGAGTCAAGAGAGGAATTTGTGAAGTGGGGAGGAATAAGTGACATTTTCCAGTTTCCAAGAATGTAGAAGACACACCAGCAAACTATTAAAAGTTTTTCCCAAAGTATAAGTGATTTTTATAAAACAAAATAAATGCAACAAGGAAACAAGGAAGAGCTAGATCTTTTGCAAATAGGAAGGGGACCCAGAGACAGAGGGAGGGAGTAAGGAGAGGAAGGGAAGGGGAACAAAAAAGGTAAGATACGTTAAGCACATAGACCTAATCCTCAAGATAAATGCAAACATTATGTACTGCAATGTCTACCAATACATTTTTTTAAGTTTCCCTATGTAGTAATCACTATGAATCATAAACATTGTTTTAAATAAATAGAAATTTCCCTGTTTCATAATTTTTGCAACTTCATAAGTCCCCCCATGAGGATGACAGCACCAGGAAATATATTTGCACCTAGAAAATGGAATGTCAGGTCCTGTATCCTGCCAATAAGTCAGTCCAGTTGGGAACAAAAATTCGTCTTGAATACATCAACCCCAAAAATAGTTTCAAACACCTGAGGCTGTTCCCCCAGGACACAGCTCACAGCTCATCTTTCTTCCAGATATCATACCTGGGCTACCTCCTGCTATTTAACTATGTCATCCTGGTGCAGATGGATGGCTGGCCCTCTCCCCAGGAGTGGATTGTCATCTCCTACATTGTGAGCCTGGCGCTAGAGAAAATACGTGAGGTGATTATTCCTTTTCCAGATTTTATTGCAGAAGCATTTCATGCAAATGATAGTGCCATGGTATTTGTCATTTGAAGTGTCTTCATCCCGTTTATTCTGGTCTCTTGTCTCAGATGTACATGCCTTCTCCTTCCAACTAAATCTGAATTTCAAAATCAAAGCAAAATAAATGACATTTACTAATAAAACAGGTCAACTAAAAGTGTCTGTACATGCCACCAGCTACTTGAAATAAGCTAGTTACTACAAGTGGGTACAATTTTAGCTCAGTTTTCTGGGACCTGAAACTAAAAACAGAGGGTCACGGGATTGCATTTTTTGCTGGAACTTGGAACTTTGGCTCACACTGTGCACTTGTATGCTGCACACTTGGCCTCTTGTGCATGAGCTTTATGGGAAGAGGGTTCTTGGTGAGAGAAAACAAAGGACACAGGCCAGGAGAGGGGAAGGAGCTGAATGCAGTGTGGTTTCAGTTAGAATCTGTCTGCAACATAACGCTACAGGGTTAAGTAGATTAGGCACTCAGAAACTGCCCCACGTTGACAGAAAGGAGTGGCGTTTTGGACTCATATCAGTTGTTTGGCACCCACAGGAGAGCTAGATCCAAATGGTGAAGGGCAAACTTCTCAGAGGGGCAGACGTGGGTCTAACGGCAGCACCCAAAGGAACTGAGATGGGCATGCGTCCCTGCTGAACGGCTTCAGAGGACCCAGTCGTGACCCGGAGCATCTACTACAAATGAGCATTTCCACTAAGTGTTGAAAAAGAATAGATACTGTCTTATCACACACGACCTGTATATCACAGAGGTTTTAAATTAAAATAGAATCCCAAGAAGGCCATTTCTTTAGGTATCTGAGGGAATAGGGTCCAGGTATTTCTCTCTCTAACGTCATCAACAAGTTTGAATTCTCTATGTTAACCTATAAAGAGAATGTTTATATCCCAGCAAAACACACATTTGAATTGAAAAAGTATACAGCAAGTTTTTCTAACCTTTTGCCAGCTGATACAGAATCAATATTATTGTCTTGCAATTACTGTTGACACTCTCTGCAATGAAAAATGACTGGTGGCATCATTAGGTGGAAGGAGTTTGGTGCCTCTGTCTCAGGAGAGCTTGAGAACCCAAGAATGCTGAATCTAAAACTGTACAACTTATCTTTTTCTATGACTACCTTCTTTTCCAGCGAGGCTCCATCCAAATTTTGAGGATGCTACCAGTGGAAATTCCCAAGTGGTCTGCTTTACCATCGTGATTGTGCTGAGCAAAATCTTTCCCCCAAAAGGCTGCCCCCCAGTTATAGAAGACAGAGCAGACATCCCCAGTTTGCATAGCTTGTTAAACTAGTAAAACTCCCTATGTTGCCAGATATGCAACGACCATGCCATTGCACCTGGGATCCTGGGCTCTACCCCCAATCTCCAGAACTAAAGGGCTCCACCTGGCACAGCAGCCTGTTGCAGCATTGCTGCTGTGCTCATCAGGATGGCTCTGTGTGAGATGGGCCATGCTGCGTGCTGAAGTACTTTCCCTACTCTGCGGAAGTCTCTTCCTAATCAGTCATGATTTTGAAAGGATAGTATCTCCAGTAGGGGGAAATCTGGTTCAACCTCCCTCTGACTTCTCTTAATTTGCAAAGGAATTTGGCAAACCAACTTTTCCTAGCCCCACTCTGATGTCTCCACCCACTAGGTTGCCCCACTGGAGGACCACCTAGGAGTCATAGGAAGACTCCAGAGTTTTACTCCTTTATAAGTCTGGAATGTGAGCCAACAGGCATGGGTCCAATAATTAGAAAAGAAATCAAAAGGCAGCTGCTTTAATTATGGCCAGAAGGAGAGAATTCAGAAGGCATTTCCTGATAGTTTATGAAACCCTGGATCTAAGAATACAGAGGATTCTGTGGAATTTCCCTTTCTAGATATCTCTCTGCCTGTGAACATTTGTGTTTGGAGGCTTTCAGCAGGAAAGGGATCAGATGCCCTGGAATGTTCCACAAGTCTTTTCTTACTGAGATTTTAAAAAGACAAAGCTTCCAATAAGAAGCTCTCAGTCTATTGTTCTTTGGGATTTGTTTTCAGATCCTCATGTCAGAACCAGGCAAACTCAGCCAGAAAATAAAAGTTTGGCTTCAGGAGTATTGGAACATCACCGATCTCGTGGCCATTTCCATGTTCATGGTTGGCGCAATCCTTCGCCTACAGAACCAGCCGTACATGGGCTATGGCCGGGTTATCTATTGCGTGGACATTATCCTCTGGTACATCCGTGTCTTGGACATCTTTGGTGTCAACAAGTACCTGGGACCCTATGTGATGATGATTGGAAAGATGGTTAGTAGTGATGCCCCATGAGTAACTGGAAATATTCCAGCTGTGGTTAGTATACCGGGCCAGGCCCTGAGTGTGGTGTCTTCAATTTTATTTGGTCTTTCTTTTGCAGCTGGTTCCTTATAGGAATTGTTCTTTGCTTTAAGCCACATAGTTTCCTTGCACATTGATAACAATAAAATCTAATAGGAAAACTTGAGCTGCGGGCCCACTATATATACATACCTATTCCTATACATGTACATGTACATCAATAGCTACTCTCTTTTGATACCATATTTAAACTGTAGAATGACCATTTAATTTCATTTTTAAATTATTTTTGATTTATTACTAATGAGTGTATTTTGACAGTAAAGTAGAAAATATCTCTAACTTTTATAAGAGTGTGCTTCACCTTCTTGGAATATAAGAGATCTGCAGTTTTCTGATTCAATAGAAATTGAGTGGCAAAATAAAATATCTCAAAATGTTTACATCTTGGTGATTAGAAACATATTTTCAGGGGCTGGGGATTTAGTTCAGTGGTTCCACCGCCTGCCTCACAAGCGCAAGGACCCAAATTTGATCCCTGGTGCCAAAAAAAAAGGAAACATTTTCAGCATTCTTTGGTATAGGGGCCTAGATTTTAAATTCTGTGAGGTTACATCTACTTCCCATTGTTTTATGGCAAAAATCCCAAACTGAAGTAGAAGCCAGAGATAAAGGGGTCCCAGGGTCCCTCCCCTACCTGCATCTACTCTTTGGCTCATGGTCTCTGGCCTGGAGTGGACACTGGTACTTCTTGCGATAGGCCAAGATAAATTCATGGAAACAATTACTCCAGAACAGATCATAGAGTATGAAACGAACATGAACCAACCAATCATCTTTATACTACCTAAAATAACCTCAGCATTAGGACTGGTTCCAAAAAATAAATAAATAAAAATAACTCTTTTGAGGGCAAGTAGCTTTGAGCTAGGGAAAAAATATGGTTTAGTTAATTCTAGTAAAAGCCCTTATACTCAGGCATGTTCAAAATTATGCATTATGCCAGTTAAATACCCACAGTAACCTGAATGTCACCCATTTGTACAATGGATAAGTGTTGGTGTATATGCTTAATTTATTATCCTTTTACCTTCTTAGGTGTATTATCCTCTTCTTGCTTTTTTCTGTTGTTGTTGTTTGTACCAGGGATCGAACTCAGGTCCTTGCTCTTGAGAGCCAGGCGGCAGAACCACTGAGCTAAATCCCCAGCCCCTGGTGTATCCTCTTCTTACTTCTTATTTTCTCCAATCTTTTCTCACAATTCTTCCCAATTGGTGATTATAATTACTAGAGGAACACCTATTTAAGGGTGTATTTGTCCACTTTTTGTCACTACAACAAAATGCAACTTATAAAAGGTTTGCTGGGTGCAGTGGCACATGCCTGTAATTCTAGCTACTTGGGAGGCTGAAGCAAGAGGATTACAAGTTCATGGACAGCCCAGGCAACTTAGTGAAACTTTGTCTCAGAATAAAATAAAGGGGTGAGAATGTAGCTTAGTGGAAAGCACTTGCCTAGCATGCACAAAGCCCTTGGCTTAATCCTGAGCATCACAAAAAAGAGAAGAAAAGAAAAGGATTTTTGGTTCATAGTTTTAAGGTTTCTGGTCCATGATCAATTGGTCCTGTTACTTTGGGTCTGTGGCAAGGGAACACATAGAGCAAGATCCTTGACCAAGCAAACCCACAAGCTAGAGAGCAAAAAGAGGAGAGAAGATGGAGTCGGGTCCTCTAATCCCCTCAGAGGCGCATCCTCCATGCCCTAAGGACCTCCCTCAAGGACCACCTCTCAGAGGTTCTGCCACTCCTCAACAGTGCCACCAGGGGGCCAAGCCCTTGCTACACTGGCCTCTGGGGCACGTTCCAGATCCAAATTCTGAGCAGTGGGCAACAGTGGAGGAGAGACAAGGATTAGGAGCAGATGAGGACAGTAGTGCTGTAGAATAAGCTGAAGGCACTACATGGAGAAGAAAAAACTAGTAGCTTGTGGATGAGGAGGAAGGAAGAGAAAGCAAGATTTCTTAATCCTAATTAAATCAGCAATTGTGAAGCCTTGAATGAACCCATATGAATTTGGCCCATAAGTCAAGACGGTAAGAGATCTCTGATCTCCCCACTCAGATGATCGACATGCTGTACTTCGTGGTCATCATGCTAGTTGTGCTGATGAGTTTCGGAGTAGCCCGTCAGGCCATTTTACACCCAGAGGAGAAGCCTTCCTGGAAACTGGCCCGGAACATTTTCTACATGCCCTACTGGATGATCTACGGAGAGGTGTTTGCAGACCAGATAGACCGTAAGAATAGAATTCATAGTAAGATTCTCTTCCCTGCTTCTGAGGCAGATGATCAGCTCCAAATTAATGGAAGAGTGTGCATTAATTTGGAAATAAAGTATTTTTTATTCTGCCATAGGCATTGAATTACTTTATGAAGAAATAAGAATAGAATATGGAATGTAGATTGTGAGACAGCAGTCATTTCTTTTACTTGAAAAGTCATTCACTAGAGTTCTGAGTCTCACTTCTCTTAAGTCGGACTTACTGAGCATACTACGAGGCCAGTATCCTAGTTTTTCTTCATCTCCATATGTTTTTACTCTAGGAAAAACCCAGTTGTGTTATTGCGGTAGAATGAAACAGTACAAGCAGGGAAACTCGTGTCTCCTATCATCTTCTTCTAGCCATCAAAGCCCATTTGCCACCTAGATAGCCACTTCTTCACTTCTGGTGCTATTTTTCAGTATTTTATTTTTTAGGTAACACATAATAATTCAAAATATTTATGGTGTCCAATGTGATGATTCAACAAATATACACAATAGTGCTACTTTTTTACTGTGAACAATAATCTGGATGTAAGGAAAAGAAAGGAGTTTCTTTCTGTTCCCCAGAAACCCGTTGGTCCCCAGAAACTCTTGGTCTCCTGCTATCTGAGCTGTGGATCAGAGTCTCCTGTGTTGTAGAGATGGGAAACTCAAATGTTTTTGCAAACATCGCAGTTCAGTCCCATTTTCATATCAGTACCAATATTTTCATTTGTATGATGTATTTCATCATAAAGCATCCGGTATAACAGCGTGTGTGCTGCTTTCAGAGTTCTGCTGTTTGGGAATATAAGGTTTGAACATTCGCTTCCCTCAGGAATCACAAGGCTGGTCAGGATTTCTATTAGATTAGACTGGTAACAGCTTCATGCATTACATTCTTTCTAGCTTTTCTACTATGATTCCCAACACATTATTTTTACAAGTATCACATAAGCCAACTATTGGATGTGTTTGTAGGTGAGTAAACAGAAAGTTAAAAATTTGATTTGATTTCAGAGTATATTAGCCTAAGTAAACACCCAAATTTCCTTAAGAGTTCCTGAACTCCAGACACAGGCTGTAATATTTTTGTTGTCTTTTAAAAATTAAATTGGATAATGAGAGAAGATAAATGGTAACTTTAGAACTATAATATGTTCGGTGACACCCTGAAATGTTGGCTTTCATTTCTTGATCTACTACATGATAATTTTGTACTATTTGTGTTTATGAGATCTTTGTGTTGGGATATACAGAATGCTTGATTTATTATCCTGTAAGTTAAAATGATCATCTGCTGGTAACATCAAATCTTTTTCACAATATTTTTAACTAGTGAGATTTTACCGTTGCTTATGACATATGGTAAAATAAATATTCATGAAATACTTTTCCTAGGATTAATAAATAATATGTACAATTCTTCTAAACAGAGCATTGTTTCTAAGTGTGAATGCTTGAATCCCAAGCTTGAAGTTTTAGCATTTCTTGACAACAAAATAGTCCTTGTGTTGTTAAATCATTTGTTTTACTTTTCTCTCAACTATCATCTTTTTTTCTTTCCTCCCCTCCTATCATAACTAAAAAAACCAAACAAAATTCCTGCTTTCCAATCACTGTATAGTGTACGCCATGGAAATTAATCGTAAGTTGCATGGAATTGATTATTTTAGTTCATGAAATGTGTTTATTAAGTAGTTTTTCTCTAGTTGCATACTGAAAGTGTTGTAATGTTTTCAAATATGACTTCTGTTTTCTGGTGTCAATACTTTTTAAAATTGCAAGTAAAAATAAGAAGACTATAAATTCAATGTTGAAACCATCCTACTTTTTCCTTTGGGAAATAGATCTCCTGTGATCAAAGTGGCATTTCAAATGAGCAGAAGAGAAAGATTATTTTTCAAACAAGATCCCAAAACAGTTGATTTGAGCGAGTAGGGAGGATCCTCACCCATCTCAGAACAAAATTATTTTCAAACTCAATGTACAAATGTAACCAAGGAAACAACTAGAAGACAACATAAGCTAATGTTAAATAACTAGAAGACATGATAACTTTCTAATAGATAACAATATAGGAAGACACCATAAAAATAGATTTTAGATTTCTATTTAAATCATTAAGAACTTTTATGTAAGAAAAACAATAAAGAAATGGGAAAATATGCAAATATGACCAAGAATGACTGAGTGTAGACATGAAGTTTTTAAAAACCATCTTCTTTGTATGAATGGATGCTCCTCATCATATTAAAAATGTTAAGAATGTGTATAACAGATAGTATTCTTTTCACTAACTATGAAAAGGAAGCACAAAAAGATGAACTTTTCTTTCAGCCCCTTGTGGTGAAAATCTCTACGATGAGGACGGCAAGCGGCTCCCCCCCTGCATCCCTGGTGCCTGGCTCACACCTGCTCTCATGGCCTGTTATCTATTAGTAGCCAACATCCTGCTGGTCAACCTGCTGATCGCTGTTTTCAAGTATGTGTCACAGCTCAGGATCCTGTGGTTGTTATTCATGGTCTTACAGATTTTCAGTTTAATCTCAGAAACCTCTCAACTACCATATCTTTGCAGAGAAGTTCACTAGGGCTTTTAAGTGGGTAGAATTTCTGTAGTCTTTTTTGGGCAACCTTAATCAGCCTTAATAGATTCATAAATCAGAAGCTGACATTTCAATACATTTAAATTTAATCATGGTTAATATTTTACTCTAGTGCAAATATTTTCGTTCAAAGTCTTCTGAGGCAGAGAGTATTTCATTCATTAGCAGAGACACAGAAAGCAATATTAATTTCAAACACTGTCACTATTACTATGACATTATATAAAATATCTTTTTTCATTTATAGAATATAAAAGAAAATGGCCTGGGGAAATCGCTTAAATTATTAAATCAAGTTTCTTATATAAATTGCCCATTTGTATGATGTGTTGATTATGTTGACCATGCTTAATAAATGTTAAAAAATATTTTAGCTTCTAAGATGAAAAATATGAGGGAAAGAGATCCTTCTTAGCAATATAAAATCCTAGAACTGAACAGGATGTAGGAGAGAACCTGGTTCCAACTCCTGGCTTGAGAGATGGAAAAACTAGTCCCTGGACTGTAACTGGCTTTCCTAAGGTCCCAGTGTTTGCAGTTAATGCAAACTTTGTTTCACTGCCTCTTGTTGGAAGCTAAAACAGATTGTGCCTACCTCACATCCAAAATAACACACCTTCAATCAAGAAGTTCAATAACTAATCAGTTCCATTACAGGAAAGTAGTCATTTAGTTGTTTGAGTTGAAATTCTTAACATTTCCAAATGCTTCGTTGAATGACATACACATTTACATATACAAAATAAAATTCCTGAGCATATGAACCAATAGACTGTGGTGTGGTTTCTTAAGAAAATAGTGTCCACCAATTTAATATACTTAACTCAATTATTTATATGAGTGAAATGTCATTGAGCATAGATAATACACATTGGTAGATAAACAATCGAAAAATAGATAATCAAGGAATCGGTATCAACTGGACTAAAGGCCATTTTGTGATGTTGTCAAATTTCATTGTAACTTGATTGCTCAAGGAAATCACTACAGAAAGTAATATAACCAACTGTGAAAATGTTTTCTCTTTAAAGCAACACATTCTTTGAAGTAAAGTCAATATCCAACCAAGTGTGGAAGTTCCAGCGATATCAACTGATCATGACGTTTCATGACAGGCCTGTCCTGCCCCCTCCGATGATCATTCTAAGCCATATCTATATAATCATTATGCGTCTCAGCAGTCGCTTCAGGGCAAAAAGACAAGGAGACCACGAAGAACGGGATCGTGGATTGAGTATGTCCAGAATTCTTCTATTTGGAGCTAATGTCAAAAACTGTGTTCCAATTGGGTACCTTCATATAAGTCTCACTGAACTACTTACTTATGCGAAAAATCCAACATTCCAACTGCTATGCTTTTTGGAATACTTGTTATTTTGTGTGGATTCTATTCTAGCTTTGACCCTTTATTAGTGATTAACATCACTGAAGTCCAGCTCATGGAGTTTACAAGTTGAGGTACTTAGTATCTCTTGTATATACCTTTCTATAAAAATCCAAAGTTCCTTTCAAAACGTTTTAATTTGTTGTATCTAAAGTGGGTGAGAAAATAATGCTACCTACTGAACTCTATAAAACATATGCAAAAGGGTTTTCAGAAAATATTGATTTCACTGTCCCAGTAGATGTCATTTAGCTTTGTTTTTTCTTTTTGTATTAAAAAGTGAGTCGATTTGTTCCAGTAGAAAGATGTTTGCTGCCCTTGACAGGCTCTTGGATGTTAACCAAGTGGAGTAGTCAGGAAACTGTTTACAAATGGTGGAAGGAGTTTAACTGAAATCTGGCTGTGAAATTCCCAATGATGCAACTAAACGGATCCTCCCGGGATCTGTTTTCATGTGACCAACACTTCTCCCTCTGCAGAGTTGTTCCTCAGCGAGGAGGAGCTGCAGAGGCTGCATGAGTTCGAGGAGCAGTGTGTGCAGGAGCACTTCCGTGGGAAGGAGGACGAGCAGCAGTCGTCCAGCAACGAGCGCATCCGGGTCACTTGCGAGAGGTGCGCCCTGCAAGGCCTAGGCTGAGGGTCTGGGGACCCCTGCAGCCCACTCTTAAGGGGGATGCCAAAGTTCAACTCAGCATTCATTCAGAGTTCTCCTGTTTTTCAGACTTGGGGTTTTAACTAGTTTTCCCCCCATATAGTGTCAAAGTTCCTAGGTGATGAATGTGTATTGCAAGTAGAAAGGAATAACATTTAATGGTAATATTAGCTCCCCCTCCAAAAAAAAAACCACCCAAAACCCTGGCAGACAGTTCTTGCCCACTCTCACCCCGGCGGGGGGGCGAGGAGCGGTACCCAGAGTCCTGCAATAATGGAGAGGCGAGTCAGCTTCAGGAAGCTATCTTTCTCCCCACGTTGCACATCTTCCCTTTGCCTGGCAAGGTCGGGAGCTCCTCTCCTGCCTAGCCTCTTGCTGCTCCTCTGACGCACCTTTTCTGACCTCACAGGGCTTGGCTAAATGCTCCCTCCTCTGTGCCCTCATGAGAGCAAGACCTGGGAATGGGGGATAGGAAGTGGGTGTCCACCCCCGGTAACAGTGCAAGTCTCTAAATTAGGGTGGGATTTGCCTTGCAGACACTTTTACATCTTCAGTACCCAGCAAAATCAGCATAATGTGTGTGAATCAGTAGATGTTTTGATAAATGAACGCGGGTCAGGCAGGGACAGACACGATGACATTTTCTGAACTGTAGTTTTGCCTTACCTTGAGCTGGGAAAGAGTAACTCATAAAGCGTAGACAAGAACAATCTTCACTTTTTTTTTTTTTGACAGGTTCTCTATATGTAGTTCAGGCTGTCCTTGAACTCACACCAATCCCCCTGAGTGCTAGGATTACAGGCGTTCACCTCCACGCCCAGCACTATCTACATTTTTTAAAATTATGACTTTTGAGAGCCTTTATTGCTTTACAAAAGCAATGTATGTTTGCTAAAGATCTTAATAATTGATAATACATTGCTCAAAAGACGTTAGCAATATGATAAAAGGATGAGCAGGGAGGATAAATGCCAGGGAGGATTCTAGGCCATCTTTATATCCTTAAATACTCAGAATTAAAGCTTTCTAATACAGACACATGTATAGTGAGGAACACAAACCAAGGTAGGACTTCAAAAAGATCTTTCAGCAGGTGATCACCAATCAATAGCCCAACAATTGCAAAAGACTTCACAGTGTCTCCCCAGGGCATGTCCAGGCCCTTGGCTCTGTCTGCCCCAGCCCACAGGAGGAGAAATGATGCCGGAAGGTGGCCCCTCTCCCCTTCTAGCCCCAGTCACTTTATAATTCAACCAAGCCCAACCAGCCACAAATATTGAGCACCTCTATTTGGCTCTCATAACGTATAAGTTCATAATAAAACTTTGAAACATTTATTTGACTTTTAACGGTAACTACTACACTTTCAAAATATAAAAGTTATTTCTCTGTAAGATACACTATACCATGGAGACCATCTAAAATTTCTACTTTTTAGTTAGACATTAATTTGAGTGTAATCACAGCCAGTCATTTACAATGGAAATTGTGTTTTATTTTGCTCTGTGTGCCCCTAGCATTGTTTGAATTTTTACCATTCTTACCAAGGTTCCAAGAATGTGGCTATCAGGTCTCTACCAAATTGCATTTTTCTCTTGGGGTTGTATGCTCACGTAACAGGAATGAAAGTGTGCAGGGCAATAAAAACATGTTACTTCCTGTTTTCCTTGGCCGAAATCCCCAGGGGCAATGGGAGTACATTCCTGCCCTTCCATTTCCCTTTGTTGACCTTGTCTAGCTGACTCACAGGTGAAGGCAGAAGGCAAAAAGAGAAGGAAGTTTGGGGATGGGGAGCTTTCCTTCCGTCCTAGCCAGGCCAGCTAGAGAGAAAAGGATAACATGGAAGAATGGGAAAAAAACTAGCTATCTGTACCTAAACTTGGGAGCCCATTATTACTTTTTTTTTTGGTACCGAGGATAGAACTCAGGACCTTCAGCTTGTGAGGCTACCTATTATTACTTTTAAAATCAGACTTTTGAGTATTCAGGCCATTTTGTTAATTCTTTAACCTTTGTTCTATATTGAATTAGTTTATTTTCTGTCTCACCATTTACCATTTGGTGATTTTCATGCTTTCTCCCACCATTAGATGGCAGGATCTGATTAGGACAGCATCGGTCCCTTTCCTGTCTTCCTGTTGTCTAAGAACCTTTTCAGACCTGAGCCAGTGAGTCTCATGACTCAGTCTCACCAACATGTTCCTATAGGACGTTCACACATTGGTCATGCTCCTCCATGCAGGGTACGTTGAATCCCTTTTCGTGGGAACCAAATCCATGGCTTTCTCCTAATGTTTGGAAATTGCACACAAAATTGTAACAACTGCACCATTTATTTTTGTCATAAAATGTGAACATTTTGTAAGACTGAATGTTTGTCTGTCAATAAGAGATCTGCAGTGTGGCTCAGCGCTAACACCACACGGGGTTACAGCAGAGTGTCTGACCCAAAGCCCAGCCCAGCGTGCCTACCTGGACCTCTTCCTACTAATGGTCATCAACTTTTGTTTCCTTCCCCTTTCAGGTAAATCATGGCCATGCCCTTCTTCTCATCTCTGCCACCACCCAGTAAACTAGAACAAGCTTCCCTCATGTTTGACCTCCATTCCTATAGCTCCCCTTCCTAGCCCTCTATATTCATCCTCTTTCAATCCAGGTTGCATTCTGTAGTCTCTAATCCACCCTTGTGCCCTCGTCCACTGCAGTCAGGCTTACAGGGCTCTGCCATCTCTCCAGTCTTACTCTGGACTGTCCTCTTCCTCCAGCTCTGTATTCTGTCCTTGCCTACTTTTATTTCCTCAAAGCACCTTGTCCTTCCTACTACAGGGTCTTTGCATGTGCTGATCTCTCTGTCTGATACCTCTCCTTTCTGTCAGGCTCATCCTTTGGGTCTCTGCTCAGATGCCAGTTCCTCATGGAAAACTTCTCTAACTACCTCATAACAGATTGGGTCAGGACCCTTGGGCCCTATGCTCTATGAAGAAAGGCACTATGTCTGGGTTTTGTCCACCATGATATTCCCAGATGATGTACATCTTCATGTAGCAAGAATCAGATTTTTTTTTTGGTACCAGGGTTCGAACTCACTTGCGTAGCAGGTGGCGAAACCACTGAGCTAAATCCCCAGCCCAAGAACCAGATTTTTTTGAATGAAAGAATGGCTCTAAATTTGCCTCCTGATTCAAATATAAATTTCTATCCTATCTTCAGTCTGTTCTCTCAAAGAATATCTGAAAAAAAGAGAAAAAAGAAACCTGTGTTCTTTCTAGGTTCAAAACATTGGTTTTCCTGTTAGAAACAAGGCGTAATCTCAAGATGCAAAGAATTGTGCTTCCATAATCGCCAGGAAAAATGCTTAATATCAGCAACATCAAAACGAGGGTGGGTGCTGGCAGGCAATGCCTCTTTGCTCACAGGGATATCATTAGACAACCGAGGCTGGTAGGATGCGAACATCTGACAGATGACTTCTGCCGCTTAACCAAGGTAGAACTTGTCCGTCCATCTGAACATTCCATCATTATACTCGACGAATACCTGGTAATGTTTGTCCATATCAGTTGGAGCTTCAGGGTCCTCTCTGAAAATCCACCCTTGTTCTCTCTGTGGTTCAGTAACTCTTATACTGACTGGCTCAAGAGCAATCAGGTTCGAAAGAATCTTTCCTGACAAAACTTTGTCAGATATTTGACTTCCTTGTCTTAAATAATGAGAATTATGTTATCCAGTGTGTTTTCCTTTTTTCATGGCTTCAAGGAACCCCAGCACCAAACTTAATATTTGATTTTAATATTAGTCTAAATTTTTACAATGTGGTATATATTGCTCCTAAAAATATAAGGATTTTTTTTACATCTTTTGCTTCTATTTACATAATTATTATTATGTCTGATATTTCAAAATACATAGGCTACAATTTACACTGTTTTTTTTTTGGTACCAGGGATGGAACTCAGGACCTTGCGCTTTCGAGGCAGGTGGTGGCACCACTGAGCTAAATCCCCAGCCCAATACATTATATATTTTAAATGTAGTTGGTCCTGTATTTAAGAAATTATGGGTGTTAGATGAGCCAAGTCTGTAACAGGAGATTCTGATTCTGCCAAAACCTTCTGGGATTTTTTTTTTTTATCAGATTTGTATGTTTGGGTTAATATCATAGATTTCCTGTAGGCGTCAATTCATGGCTTTGAGATCTTATTTGACACCCTCTCCCCATGACTAGGAATAGAAGGGACTGGTAAGAGAGGCCCTAATAAGAAGAACAAGACAGTAACTAGAAGAGGAAGTGGAAGAGAGATCAATCTTAGAAAGTGGATAATATCTCTGATACAAAGGTCATAGAAATACAAGCATGCAGTGATGGTAGAGACGCTGGGAGAAGAGCCTAGCTGAATGTCTGCATCTTATACAGTAATAGGAGTCAAGGCTACTTGGATGATAGGAAGGGGTGGAATTAAGTATTGAAGCTTTAATGTCCCCCGTGAATAACATTCTTGTTCCTCATCTGACTTTGAGAACTAGAGATAGATGCAGACATCATGCAGAAAGAAAGTTTTTAAAACTCAGCTTTATTAATAATAAAAATTGCGGTAGAGACTGTGGTTCAGTTCTTGCCAAATCCACACCTGGAATCAAGCACGCCCACTCAGTCACAGACAGCAGTAGTCACTGCAGCCTCGCCTCCCACAGGAAGTCAGCCTCCCCACAAGGCTCCATGTGACCGGGACAAAGCAACAGCCATGTTCTTTGCAGGCAGCTAACGTTTACAGAGAAAAAGAAGAGCATGCCAGTGGCCTGGTCCCCAAACTCCAAGCAGATAAACAGTCCCGCTCAAGAAGAAATAAAGGGCTGGAGAGAGGAGGAACATTATAATAATGGGAAGTCCTGTCACATAGAAACAAATTGAGAATGAGGAAAAGTACTTCTACCCCAATCAAGATTACAGTCATGAAGTCAG